CCCTTTAAGATTCTACTCGTTCAAAAACTGAGTAAGCATCGNCCGACGGTATATTCATAATATTTATTTATACATTATTTGCAAGTCATATTTCATCACATACATCATACTTAATATTAACTCTGTAAGGGTGTAGCAATTTTACAACTTATAATAATTTAGGTACTGAGTGAGCGCAGCTTGTGCTTCGACATCCCTTTCACAATTAAAGTGAGCACCGCTTGCACTTCGGCCTCCTTTTCACTCATAATAAATAAATATCAAGTTCTCATGTTGTATAGTGCTTGTAACAAATCTCCATCGAACCGGCTTCTTTACCAATCCCTTTAAGATTCTACTCGTTCAAAAACTGAGTAAGCATCGCTTGTGCATCGGCATTCTTTTCACTCATAATAATATGTATATTCATAATATTTATTTATTCATTATTTGCAAGTCATATTTCATCACATACATCATACTTAATATTAACTTGGGTACTGAGTGAGCGCAGCTTGTGCTTCGACATCCCTTTCACATTTTCGAGTGAGCACCGCTTACACTTCTGCCCCCTTTTCACTCACAATATACATATTCTTAATAATTCAAGTACTGGGTGACTACCGCTTGTGCTTCGACATCCCTTTCACAATTAAAGTGAGCACCGCTTGCACTTCGGCCTCCTGTTCACTCATAATAATATNCACCCACTCCTCTGAAGGTTGGAGACTCTACTCTCGAAGTTGTTGACAATTATGTATACCTGGGACAAACAGTGCAGTTAGGTAGGTCCAACTTCGAGAAAGAGGTCAATCGTCGAATCCAACTCGGATGGGCAGCGTTCGGGAAGCTTCGCCATATACTCACATACATCATACTTAATATTAACTTAGGTACTGAGTGACTACCGCTTGTGCTTCGACATCCCTTTCACAACTAAAGTGAGCACCGCTTGCACTTCGGCCTCCTGTTCACTCATACGTACATAAGATTTATAAACTTTAGCGTTCCATTTCAATTCAGTAACTCGTATAAAAATGTCGCATTGAGACCAGTGTGGGGGGTCAGGTTCGCTCCGATGTAAAAATAACGCCGTTTTAAATGTTCACAAAACAGTTTATTGCGAGTATTTGCAAGTTCAGTACACTTTTGGGCAAACACGTGTTTCTTGCGCGCGGTAGGCTAACGCGGTATCGCTCCGAGGGCGTTTGACAGCAGACTGGAAGACGCGTGAAATTGTGTGCGAATAAAAACTGCCGCGTCGCGTACCAACGACACCGAGTTACCCTCCAATCTATATATATAAAAGAAAGTCGTGTTAGTTACTTCGCTTATAACTCAAGAACGGCTGAACCGATTTAGCTGAAAATTGTCAGGGAGGTAGTTTAGAGCCAGGAGAAGGACATAGGATACTTTTTATCCCGTTATTTATTGCCATTAAGGCGGAACAAAGTTCGCTGGGTCAGCTAGTAGAAAATAAAAATTGTTCTTAAACTACCGTTATATAATACANGACTAACGCGGTGTCGCTCCGAGGGCGTTTGACAGCAGACTGGAAGACGCGTGAAATTGTGTGCGAATAAAAACTGCCGCGTCGCGTACCAACGACACCGAGTTACCCTCCAATAGAAAATAAAAATTGTTCTTAAACTACCGTTACATAATACAATAATATTCCGTCGCTAACAACCAGCGTTTCTTTATTTTACTCATAATGTAGTTTTAAAATAATTCAGCTATCTACTGAGTGAGCACCGCTTAAGCTTCAGCATCCATTTCACGATTAAGTGAGCACTGCTTGCTCTTCGGCATACTTTTCACTGCTTTGTCTAATGAATAATATTAAACCATTAACCTCGATTGGTGTCAGCATTACTACCAAAATAATATTCTTAATCACCATTTTTTTTTCACTTGCTTTCCTTTTAAGTAGTTTGGTCCCGTTACAGTAACATAATAAACATTCTGAAGTAAGGAATTCAACCATTGCTTTAACAGTAACATTATAATTTACATTACATTACATTTCAACATTTCATTCTCAATATAGTCAACCAATATGTAAATGTTCACAAGTAGGACCCAGTAATCATTACTTGTAGCACACATGATTAAAATAGTTGCCTGCAAATTATGTCACGTACATATCCCAAAATGAGTAGTAATAGGCTAGTTGCCACTATTTTTATTATTTGATAAAACGGTTCATTACGATTATATTACACCATAAAAAAATTATGAATTTTTTTGAAGCCTACCTATCCTAATATATTTTAAATTTTAAATTATATTTTAGCTATACAGCCATAAACGCCGTCCGCCATGATGGTCTATTAATTATCTGTGCCGTGACGTCACTAATAAATAAATAAATAATTTATTTCATAATATAAAACGGTTTACAATAATTAAAATATTGACCAAACTTCCTTTTAGGTAAAAATATACCTGTGCCAGGAAGTGAGGCTCTTCTATATCTAGGTATTGTTACTTATCTAAACACTTGTTTTGGAATAAAATAAAATAAAAACTAAGTTACATTACATAAAATACACTTTTTTCTAGTTCGGGGGTAGAACCAAAAATAGTTGGTAACCGTTCTGTTCTGTGGTATGGTACAAGTGAACAGCGGTTGCCTTTTTAATAAAATTATACAATTACAACTTAACAAATCTTAAAATGTTGCTTCTATTTATTTTTGATGTATGTGTTGTGTGTGTGTATGTGTGAATTTCGTTAGCTGCAACCGGAGGTTCCAAGAAAAAGCAAACTTTATTTAATTAAATTTAATTTAAAAGAAAGAAATTACAATAAAAGTAAAACTAGTGATACCGTCTCGAAGTATGAAACAAATATGATTATAAAATAATTGGTAAAATTAATGAAACGTCGCCGCTGTCGACATGAGAGGCGCATTTTGCTGATGCTGTTGTCAAGAGAGGCGCGTTTTGCTGATGCTGCTCCGCGCGGTCCATAGTGCAATGTGCAATCTTGATTTGGGTAAACTGGGTCAGCGTCGATGCAGCGATCTTCATAGATTAGGTGTGCGTAACACCTCCCCCCGAAGAACAGCCACCACCGAAGAATTTCGTAGTGAATTGAGGTGGGGGTTGGCTTGCCCTTGTCTTTGGTTCTGGTACAGCATATAGTGAGTTTCNCTCTCATTTAAATGAATTACGACTTGTTGTATCCTTTGCAACTTAATTATTTATGTATGAATGAATGAATTTCATATAGGTACATAATGTTCCGATAATGTTCTATCACAATAACTACCCTGGAGCCTGGAGTCGGTCATTTGAAATGTTCGTAAACATCTGTGTCCACAGTTCCACACTTGTATCGACTTCCATGGACAAATTTTTCATATGTGGCCAATTAATTATTACATTATCAACATTATCATCTTCAACTTTTCATTATCTTATGCTATTAAATTCAGTTACGGTTTCATTACATTAGATTTTCGGTATAATGTCATTATCTTCAGATTTTAAAAGAGGGAATCAAATAAGTATGCGTTATAACCCTTGTGAACTGGGTCGATCGTTGCAGAATTCAGTAAATACTTACTAACTCTTTCACCAATGAACTTGAATCATTATTAAGAAGTTTAGTACCAAGTAAATACATGTAATGTACTAAAATAATGTCTTATTTTAACACTGGAACAGTCAGTTCGAGAATTGCCAAGATAAACGTAAACTTTTACTGTTTGCAATTATTGCTCTATTTTATTAATATTTCATTTAATCTAGTGATCGGGTTTTCAATAAAATTTTGTCCTCCATCAAAAGCCTGCTTAAGGTATCTTTTGCTACTCGTATTATATCCATTATCAATAGGCAACTTTTTTTTCATTTTCTTAACTTTCCATTTATTAACCTTTTACTTTTATCTCCATCCCTAGAGTATCATTCTGATGTTAACTCAATCACCAAATAAGTACATTACTTATTTTAAATTTTCGTATACAATATTTTAAGTGTATCTTGAAATGTGATTAAATTTTATTTCTGTATAATAACATCTATCCATGCGAGGATTTTATATATCTACTCAAAACTACTACTGAGTACATTGTTTTCACCGTATGACACTCGTAGAAGCTGCTCTTAATTAACAAAATGCTCTAAAATCTGTCTGTCAGGCACATGCCTCCTCGTCATTAGACCAGGTAGTCCTGTTTTAAATTTACATAGTTGTATTCTCCAATTTACACACCTCTAGTTTTTCGTCTTCAGTGTTGTAGGTCTCGCATATACGTAACAACAGCTAAATTGAGTCTCATAAATCATTAGTATTGTGATATCAATTCATTATCAGGCAGGTCCACTAGTACACTACTCGAAAATGGTAGGTAAACATTAAACTCTACATAAGTTACAGAGAATGTGACCATGTAATATGAACTTCAGAACGACGAGTCTGTTTCGATTCCTCGTCTCGCAAATAAGCAGGTTGCTTCTTTTATTTTTTTTTAACTCGGATAACATTTGTCACGGATATTTTGAAAGATTTTCAATAAACATACATTCNTTTTTCATAATCATATTAAGTGCACTTTATCAAGACACACTGTTTAAACGTAAATCAGTCTTTGTCGTCCTGAGAAAAATAAATAAAAGGTTACCCTACTTAGAAAGAGAGAGCCTGCCCACAGAGAGCGAGATAGTGATACATAGGTTGTGCTTCAAGTAGGTATTCTAAGTCTGGCCTCCATTTTTATCTTTAGCTTCATGATGCTACCGTACCGCGGACTTTTTTAAAGAACTTTTAAAGGGGAACAATCCTGTCAACCTGTCATACATGATTTTTGCGAAACTTTAACCGTTTACGCAGCGTCAGCTCTCAAAGGAAAAAATTCACTGATTTGAAATATTCTTGATTGGTGCTCCGCTCCTATTGGTCTTAGCGTGATGATAAATAGCCTAAAGCCTTCAGGAACTAACGGGCTATCCAACACAAAAAGAATTTTTCAAATCGGTCCAGTAGTTCCTGAGATTAGCGCGTTCAACCAAACAAACAAACAAACTCTTCAGCTTTATAATATTAGTATAGATATAGATGCTAGGTAGGCATATCCGGGTTTGTTTCGATGGTATGTTTGTTTGTTTGTTTATGGTACTGATTGAGATGCTTTATGGAATCTATGCTAACACACCGTTAAAGTCGATCAAAACTCACATCTTCCTCGCCAGTGATGTCGACGTAGTGCGCCTTGGCTTCGATAGCTGCACGCACCACCGGCTCACCATACAGGCGGTAAGGCCCGCAGCAGTTCAGCAACACCTTGGCCTGTCTGCACATGCTTGTCAGCGACGACTGATCGCTGACGTCAGCAATTATAATTTTGATACCGGATATGACTACGCCTGAAAAAACAAGTTTGTAACAGTCAACCTTCCAACCAAGTCAAGACTTGAAAATATAATCAGCTTGAGAAAGGGACAGCTAACTTTTCTTCTCGTACCCATACCTCCATAAGTTTTTATAACTCATTATTATGTGATTTACTGAGTTGCACCATCTTATTTTAACTTAAAAAAACGTCAAAAATCAGTCAAACTCTATACTTACAAAAAACAACGGTTATCGTCAAAGTTACGGTCAAATTTAGGTCGTGCAACTCAGCCTAAGCGTTATGGAAAATATTCACCCATCAAAAACAATACTTGTCAAAAAAACCAAGTCTCGCAACTCAGTTGTTCTACGGTAAAAAATTGTGAGATCCATGTAATACCAAGTCCAGGCCAGGAAATCTTTAACGTTTTACATAAATTATTGACTTGGCCATCGCACTAAATAATTTAATTTACACGTGTTTTCATGCGATGGCCAAGTCAATATATTTATGTAAAACGTTAAAGATTTCCTGGCCTGGACTTGGTATTACATGGATCTCACAACTTTTTACCGTAGAACAACTGAGTTGCGAGACTTGGTTTTTTTGACAAGTATTGTTTTTGATGGGATCTCATTTCTTTTTGTATTTTGTAGACAGCAGTTATGTATCTAGAAAACTGGACCGAAATTGAAAAATTTTACTCGACTTGGCGGTTGCACTACCGTGCCCCCAAATATTTTAGTTTTTCCTTGATTCATACACCAAACACTACTTATATTCCAAATTTGAAGCTTCTAGGTCTGCTAGAAGTGCCTTAGAGTTTTGATGATCGGTGAGTCAGTGAGTGAGTCAGTGAGTGAGTGAGTCAGTCAGTGAGTGACAAAATTAAGTAACTTTGACCCGTTATAATTCTTAAACTACTGGTTCAAATTGAATGAAATTTTAAATATACCGTGTCTTTACAATGCCTGCATAGCTAATGAAAATTCAGCCTTCTAGTTTTATCCACAACGAAGTTACAGGCGGTCGAAAATGGCCTGAATTGCTTCGAGAAAAGGATGGTACGGCCGTGCCGCTTTTTTGCTCGACTTGGTGGGGGCACTGCCGTGCCCCCAGATTACACTGACAAAAGATAATAATGACCTTTGATTTTATTTAACCTTTGGTTCCAATGGAAACTACACTTGACGTCAAAGAAATCGCACCTCCCGCGACAATAAAGGTTTTCTTCTGACCACCAATATTGATGTTATTTGAAAGCCCAATTAAAAAACACATTTAGTTTTTTTTAAATAAACAATTAACAGGTACCATAAATGTGACTTGAAAAAAGCAAATGTTGCCCCTCACCTAGAGATGTGCCGCTGAGAAAGTTCTCGTTCCCGGCAATATTCCCAGTGAGAATATTCTCGAGAACTGAGAACGCTCCCGGGAATATTCTCAGTGTTCTCGACAGAATACATTTAGTTTTAATTTTAATTTTGTTGTTTATATGTGGTATTATTTGTAATGCTTCGATGTTTTATTAACTGGGCGTTAAGACTAGTCGTTATAAACAAGGCATGAAACGTGTGAGTGAAATATTGCTGTCTTGCTCACTCTTTTCATGGCGAACGCGTACCGCGGCTTTAGGACTCGGCTACGGTATTTGAACATGAGTGTGCCTCTGAGTTTTAAGGCCCTTGCCACTCTGGCGGATTTCAAGCGGATTCAAAGCGGATTTAAAGTGGAGCGGCGACGCGACGGCGGCGCCGCGTGAAAATATCGTGAAGCTTCCCGAAGGCTGTCCAACCGAGCTGGATTCGATGATTGACCTTTTTTTTTCGAAGTTGGACCTACTTAACTGGACTGTTTGTCCCAGGTATACATTGATGTCAACAACTTCGAGTGTAGAGTCTCCAACTTTTAGAGGAGTGGGTGGGTGCAACACGGATTTTAGACATGATTTTTAAATCTTGTCCATGGTCATTTTGAGACCCACTTGTTGAGAGACTCTATTGAGGCCATCGAGCATTGTGCCTAGATCTTCCTGCTAAATCCGCTCCAGCCCAGAAGCTTGAAAACATCTTCTAGGGCGGTGGTGATGACGTCTCCCTGTCTCATCCTTCGCTGCAACTGGATAGGTTTCGGGTCCTGATCTTGAAACGGACTATTACTATGGCGTGTTTGTACAAGCCTTTCAACACTTCTATGTATCGATAGTCAATTTGGCACAGTTGGAGAGACTGCAGCACTGCCCATAGTGCCCATGTCTCAATCGAATCGAAGGCTTTCTCATAGTTCACAAACGCAAAGTGGCTGATTTTACTTCTTGATCTTCCTTATAATCTGCCGTAGCGCATATTATTATGGTCTATGGTACCTACTAAAGCCTTTTCAGAAACCGGCTTGTTCGGGGGGCTGAAAGTTGTCAAGCCTGCTAGCGTGACAATTCGTAATGACTATCAAAAACAGCTTATAGATATGGCTCAGAAGCGAAATGGGTCTATAATTCTTCAACAAGGTTTTGTCGCCTTTTTTGACGAGGAGTATCACCATACTTCTTTGCCATGCCGTAGGCGTAATTCCCTTGAGGATGACGGAATCGAACAGCTTCTGAAAAGCCTTTAGTACCGGCGTTCCACCTGCTTTCAGAAGCTCAGCCGTGATTACGGTGCCTTGTTGCTTTTCAGCTGTTTGAGAACCATTCTAATCTCGTACAGACTAAGATCAATCTAGCTAGCACGTATTTTATATAAACATGTGTCAAATGATCCGTCAGACAGGCTATCCACAACTTATCCAGAAGTGGCGAAACAGGCCCTTACTAAACGATTGTGAAAATATGCCCTAATGTCAAATGTAAAGAATAGTTTAAAAAACTAAAAACACGCTTTTAATTACTAACAGGAATCATCAGGACCCTGGACATCATCTAGCATTAAAGTGCTCGAAAAGACAAATCCAACGAACCCAAACTAGATGAGTTTCCGCCGTTTCGTTTAGGAGTTTCTATGGCCACCTCCTGACTCTATCATTAGGACCCTGGACATTATCTAGCACTTAAAGACATCGAAAAGACAAATCCAATGAACCCAAACTCGATGTGATTCCACCGTTTCGTTTAGGAGTTCCTTTGGCCACCTTCCAGTCCTATCATCAGACCAGCTGGTACCACAATATTGTATTGTCATCTAATCTGCATAAAGTTTCATGATGATACAAGACTTAGAAATGCATGTAATCAGATTCTAAGATTCCATTACATAGTTAGTTACATACACGACGACCTAATAAAAGCGTGTTAAAAACGAAAAAATTTACAGTTATATTATTTAATTGCATGTAAAAAGAAATTTCTGACATCTTACATATCATTAAAACGACATTTCACGACGAAAAAAATAAAATAAAATAAAGGAACAGTTGCCGAGAATATTTCCGAGAAAGTTCCCGAGAATATTCTCGGGAACACTGAGAATATAGCCTTTCTCTGCAAATACAGTGTATTGTTTAATATACACTTATCTGTCGACTTAATTTAAAACTATTTTACTTAAGAAAGTTTGTTTATTTCCATTTGATAAACATGATTCTCAACCTTTCTCACTTAGGAGAACGCTCCCGGGAGCGCTCCCGAGAATATTCTCAGTGAAGAGAGCGTTCTCGGGAACGGCACATCGATACCCTCACCTCTAGGACCAATTAGACCAATTTTGTGGTTAAACAACCAAATAATAATGATCTCACGTGTCGACGCCGTCTGTATAAATTTACCTAACTTATTTGAAAAGTGAGATTATTCCATGAAAGAAAAATAGCAAAAACAAGTCGGTCTACAGGTGCACTTACAAACTGCACCATACCATACCATACTTGGCAGAAATATCGCTTAACAGGCTCTGCAACTTGGCTTCCGAGCGGCCGGCCACTGCCCAGGTGACCCCAGCATACTTGGCTCTTCCACGGGAAATCTCTTCCACTACCTTCTTACCAGTGAAGCCAGAGGCTCCAAATATTACAATATCAAACTGCATCTAGAAGAGATGAATATATTTTTATTTTACCCAGAGAAATAATATATTTTCATATCTTAATGGATAGACAAAACAATTTTATCAAAAGGTGGAATGAATGTCACGTAAAATTCTCTGCATTCTTAAGGTATAATCTTTTGGGATAAGCAGAAAATTTTACTATGTAGGTACAGGTAGGTACCTACCTAATAGCCGTATCCGTATAATATACCCACAAAACTATCTTATACAATAAATGATTTAGGTAGTGTACTCAACACAAAACAATAAATAAATAATTATACTCAATCAATGTCTCACTTACTGATAAATAAATAGCCTGTTTACATACATCTGTGAAATTAACATTACTTTAAAAAACAAAATAATGTGCCTGATGTCGTATTTTTTTCATCCCGCCCGAACAACTAGGTATAATTTAGTGATAGAAAAGTAAACTGAGCATTTTTAATCCTGTTTTATGTAACAGTGGTATTGTATGAATTCCGTAACAAGTGGGTTAAATAAAGGCAATAAAATTGATTGATTTACTTACATTACAGTGCAACGTAGATACAAGGAATTTTCCGAATTATCTAATACCTACTTTCGCAATTTAACATTTACACTCACGCACGTGCAAATTGTGCATGCTGCTACAGAAACTGAGTTTTAATTTAAAACTGAGCGCCAATTTTTTTCAAAGGGAGGGCAAGGTGGTTACTTGCCATGTTAAATAATGGTTTAGAGTGAACAATAAAAAGGCATTATTTATTAAACAGCGTAATTATTTTAATTTGTTGTTATTGGGTGTGTAATTAAGTGATTACGACACGTTGCATTATAAAGTTTAAAAATAAATATTTTTGAACTTGTTCGATTTTTTTTACAAGCCTCGGATTTAGCCTGCTGCCATCTGTCATTGTCAAAAGTCAAGTCGTGTTGTCATCAGTCGTCTGTTGTGTCAATGTCACCACTTTTATAACCTAAAACGAAGACGAAACTAAAATAAATTTGCCACAAAAATGGAACTGAACGAAAGAATTTTGCTTGTGCTAGACAAAAATGAGAGGGTGGACACTTTAAAACTAGCTTTAGAGTTCAATGAGGACCATCAGAAAGTAGTGGGTGCTGTGAAAAGCCTCGAAGCGCTGGAGATGGTGACTTCGGAGGCGGTGAAGAGTACCCGATGGGAGCTGACCGAGGAGGGCCAGCTGGTGGCCGACAAAGGGAGCCATGAAGCTGTTCTTTACCGCAGTGTACCGGATACGGGGATACCACAAGCAGAACTTATGAAAGTACGTGTTTTAAAAACCACTACACTCATTACTTTTATCTATTACTTACATCATAATTCCTTAGATTTCGGCTTTGAAATGTTTACGCATAATCATTTTTGGGCCTTATGTAGGCCAAACACACTTTGAAATAATTTGAATTTGTCCTTTAATGCATTTAAACAGATCAAATCATGCTTGCTTACAACTTCAAATGTTTAATTCCTAATTGTAATTGTTAGATTCNAATCACCTTAATTGATTTCAGACAGTTCCTAATGCAAAAGTAGGCTTCAGCAAAGCCATGTCATCGGGATGGATATTAATAGATAAGTCCGGGGGAGCACCTCTTGTAAAAAAGAAAGTGGATAGCATCACAGACACAGTGCAGGATCACCTGAACGAAATAAAGAAAGGCATAGACAATCTAGCCGATAACATTAGGAATGACTACAAAAAGAGAAAACTCCTACAAGAAGTAACTATCAAAAGCTTCCTTCTATCCAAGGGACCACAGTTCGCAACCACAATAAAGAAGCTGGAGACTGATTTAACTAGTGAAATGCTGTTGACAGGGTCGTGGAAGAATTTGGATTTCAAACCATATAATTTTGATGCTTTAGGTATGTAAAAATCTTATAACATACAATAGTTACCTATGTATTTTATAAATAGCAATGATAAGTTAAATAATTCATAATCATAAGATAATGTAATATTGGTAAATATGTACCTTCACTTCCATTGTGTTAATGATTATGAATATAACTTTTAAAGTTTTATGTTAATACATTACCTTTTTATTATTTATCCATACAATATTTGATTACTATGTATGAATAATAAAGTGCAAATAAATATACTGGGTCTAAGCTAAATCTATTTTATTACTCTTACTAACTACAAAATCTAAACTATTTCAGGTCAGCCCCCAGAATGTGGGCACTTGCACCCCCTACTCAAAGTGCGGTCAGAGTTCCGTGAGATATTCCTCGAAATGGGTTTCACTGAGATGCCAACCAACATGTATGTGGAGAGTTCTTTCTGGAACTTCGACGCTCTGTTCCAACCGCAGCAGCATCCTGCGAGAGACGCTCATGACACCTTCTTCATATCGAACCCTGCGGTCACTACGAAGTTCCCCATGGACTATTTAGAAAGGGTTAAACAGGTCCACAGCAAGGGAGGATATGGATCACAGGTACTACTATTTTAGCAATACAGAATATTTTTTTTGTTGACAACAATTATTAGTTTTAGAAAGATGTTTATGGCGATTATCACACTGCGCCGCGGTACGCGGGACGACAGATTTAATCATTGTATGCAAGTACCTCAGTTTGTATAGAAAACACGCGCGGCACAACACACTAACAACGCGTCCGCGCGCGGGATTTTTTATATGAAATCACGCGGACCGCGGCGGAGCGCGGCGCAGTGTGATAATCGCCTATTATAACATACTTTTACCAGTTTTATTTTTCCTATGCCAAATAACATTTAAACTGAGTCTTCTTATGATTTTTGTAAATGTAAGTCATATGATGCACTTGAACTCGTTGGCGCCATATCAGGATCTTACAAATGTCGAGTATGTTTACTATTAATTGACGCTGCTCATAGACAAGCAAATGGGTCGCCAACTTACGTCGCCAATGATGCCAAGTACGGTGTCGCTCATTGTACAAGGGGCTTAGTATGAGTTTATTTCAAATGTATTCGATGTCGTGAAAAAGTCTATGAAGATTTTAGTTCTGGAAAGTTTCCGCTAGGGGGCTGTGCAATCATACATAATGTACCTTTTATTCGCAGTCGAAATCGAAAGCGTTTGAAGTAAACTCACACTTGAGTTTGGTGGGACAGTTCAGCGTGGGTCATCTATAGAATGGTTTAACATGTATTACTTTTCTCTATGGTAACCCCCATGTTGGTACCCGCTGAAAACCAGCTTCGTGACTTGACGACTTGTGTCATGACACGATTTTCGCTGAGCGGGCGCCTTTTCAGCATGGCTCAGTAATTTAACCTCTTTACATGTATGCATATAAATGTTAATGCTGAATAAAGGTATTCTATTCTATTCTATTCTATTCACACTACGCCCCCTGCCCCCCTAGACAAAACGCACTTTTTGATCGAATCGAAAATCGAATCCGTCAAAACTCCATACAAAAAAGGGGCTTTTCGACCACTTTTCGACTGGTTTGCGATTATAATTTCAACTTTGTCTAAAACCTGGTCCGTGAGCACGTAGAATCCCGTCCAATGACCCCAAGCTACCCATCCCTATCTGTGTTGCTGTCGCGACTGTGCGACGGGCGCCCGCAGTGAGTGTGCGAGCGCGACAGCAACATAATTACGCGCGAGCGATAGGGATGGGTAGCTTGGGGTCATTGGACGGGATTCTACGTGCTCACGGACCAGGCTTTAGACCCACTGATCTCTTATGACGTAACGGTTCGCAGGGCTACCGGTACGACTGGAAGCTGGAAGAGGCGCAGAAGAACCTTCTCCGCACGCACACGACCGCGGTCAGCGCGCGTATGCTGTACCAACTCGCGCAGCAGAAGCAGTTCACGCCGCAGAAGTACTTCAGCATCGATAAGGTAACATAAATCAGAAGACTAGCTGTGCCCGCGACTTCGTACGCGTGAAAACCCGTTTTCGCACATTTTTCATTTTTGCTCTGCAGCTATTACTCATAGCGTGATGGTATATAGCCTATAGCCTTCCTCGATAAATGGGCTATCTAACACTGAAAGAATTTTTCAAATCGGACTGGTAGTTCCTGAGATTAGCGCGTTCAAGTAAAAAAACAAACTCTTCAGCTTTATAATGTTACTAGCTGTGCCCGCGACTTCGTACGCGTGAAAACCCGTTTTCGCACATTTTTCATTTTTGCTCTGCATCTATTACTCGTAGCGTGATGGTATATTATATAGCCTAGGCTATAGCCTTCCTCGATAAATGGGTAGTTCCTGAGATTAGCGCGTTCGAGTAAACAAACAAACAAACTCTTCAGCTTTGTAATATTAGTATAGATTCAGAAGCGAAGATTTTTCTAAGAAATCGTCCATTTTCTTACAAGAAAGAAACCCTAAGGGGGCTTTTCTAAAACTCTCGCGGGCGCCCTCGGACATTGAACACTAGAACACAACCTTCACATCCAAATGTGATGCAAACATTATAATTATTTTTTGCTTTTCAAAGGTGTACCACGTGCCGATGACTCGATCCTATGTCATGGAGACACGATGCTAGGCCGCGTCTCCTTTCATTTACTCCATTTTCTTTGATAGTATGATATGTTTTTTTGCCACATTTGACCAATTGAAGAATGCAGTTTAAAAAAAAACTTGTAATGAAATAATGTAGAATCATCTATCAAACTTCAACACATATTACGTAGCCACTAGTGATGTTTTCTTCTACTTATCGTGTCGACAACAAACCTAAACAGCGTTATCCCAAAACTCCAGTGATGTATTGCGTAGTTGGCATTTAGTGTGTTAACCAGAATTTTTACCTCCACCATGATATCGTCAATGTATATTCCAGGTGTTCCGCAACGAGACCCTGGACGCGACGCACTTGGCCGAGTTCCACCAGGTGGAGGGCGTGGTGGCGGCGCGCGGGCTGTCGCTGGCCGACCTTATCGGCACGCTCGACGCCTTCTTCAAACGCCTCGGCTTCCACAGGCTGCAGTTCAAGCCTGCTTATAACCCTTATACGGAGCCTAGTATGGAGATCTTTGCTTACCATACGGGTGAGAATTTCAAACTTCTTATTCTTTAGCAATTCCGTCATTTACTGTCGCTTCGGTTTGAAGAAGCTGCAGTTTAAGGCCGCCTATATAAATCTTATACTGAGCCGAGTATGGAGATCTTCGCTTACCATACAGGTCAGTGATGTTTAAAAAGTTCTTTGTACAGATACAATATAGTGAAATAGCTACAGAGCTTTTCCGCCTTCTTCCACCACTTCGGCTTCCACAAGCTGCAGTTTAAGCCTGCTTACAACCTTTACACTGAACTGAGCATTGAGATCTTTGCGTACCATACGGGTAAGTGTCGCTTGCTTTACATACTACTCTGTCAGTAGCTGGCCGACCTCATCGGCATGCTCGAATGTTTTTGAAGTTCTTTGTCTGTAGCTGTTCCACCTTCTTCCGCCGCCTTGGCTTCAAGAAGCTGCAGTTCAAGCCCGCCTACAACCGTATACCGAGCCTAGTATGGAGATCTTTGCTTATCATACGGGTGAGTGTCGCTAGCCATACAGACTTTTCCAGTAGCTAGCCGACCTCATCGGCACCCTCGACGCCTTCTTCAAACGCCTCGGCTTCCACAAGCTACAGTTCAAGCCTGCTTATAACCCTTATATGGAGATCTTCGCTTACCATACAGGTCAGTGATGTTTTTGAAGTTCTTTGTCGTAGCTATTCCACCTTCTTCCGCCGCCTTGGTATCCACAAGCTGCAGTTCAAGCCCGCCTACAATCCGTATACCGAGCCTAGTATGGGGATCGCGCGTACCATACGGGTGAGTGTCGCTTGTCTTACAAACCTTTCGTCTGTAGCTAGCCGACCTCATCGGCACCCTCGACGCCTTCTTCAGGCGCCTCGGCTTCCACAGGCTGCAGTTCAAGCCTGCTTATAACCCTTACACCGAGCCTAGTATGGAAATCTTTGCTTATCATACCGGTAAGAGTTTCAAACATCTTATTCTTTAGCTATTCCGTCATTTACTGTCGTTTCGGCTTCCACAAACTGCACTTCAAACCCAGGCAAACCCTGTACTGAGCCGAGTATGGAGATATTCGCTTACCATACGGGTGAGTGTCGCTTGCCTTACAAATCTTTCGTCTGTAGCTGGCCGACCTCATCGGCACCCTCGACGCCTTCTTCAGGCGCCTCGGCTTCCACAGGCTGCAGTTCAAGCCTGCTTATAACCCTTATACCGAGCCTAGTATGGAAATCTTCGCTTACCATACAGGTCAGTGATGTTTTTGAAGTTCTTTGTCTGTAGCTATTCCGCCTTCTTCCGCCGCCTTGGCTTCCACAAGCTACAGTTCAAGCTTGTCTATTGAACCGAACATGGAGATCTTCGCTTACAATACGGGTGAGTGGATCGAGTTAGGTGTACTTGGAGTTTCCCTATGTGATCGATTATGAAATGTGGTGATTCGTAGCAGAACCAAAGCAACCGATATAACCCGCGGAATCGCCAAACTTGAGTGGCAGGGGGCAGTGGCGTAACTATTATAGGGAGGCAGGGCTGGCAAAATGTTGCGGGCCCCCGACCCGAGAGGACCCCGGCCCAAATCCCTAATCGCACTGCTTCAGGGAGATGGTCCCGGTCCCCCCTGAAATAAAAAACCCAGAATTTGCCACGGGCCTTGGGTGCTATAGTTACGCCATTGGCAGTGGGCTGGGGACAAAATAGAGCTGTAGGTTTTCACGCCGTGCTTTAATGCGGTTGCATTAGCGCTATCCTTACGTTTTACCGAAGTTGAGCGCTTCATGAGGACTATAGTTTTTGTGCGTCATTCTGGTAAGTGCAAATGCTATAGTCTTCCAAGTCCTCCAACCTTCAGTGCACACCAGTTGGCACCACTATCTTAGCCACTAGGATTTCTACAACGACCGGTCTTACGCTGCCCGCATCCAGGCACCTTCCGCGACCACAGCTTGTCGGTCCACTTAGTGGGCAGTCTTCCGGCCCGTGGTCGCCATTCGAGAACCCTATCCAGAGCCCTCAGCAGTATCGATAGACAATGTACCCAGAAGTAACTGATCCCCAAAACCTTCCGCAGGTCTCGGCAAATGGATCGAGATCGGCAACTCGGGCGTGTTCCGTCCAGAGATGCTGCTACCAATGGGGCTGCCCGAAGACGTACGTGTCATAGCATGGGGGCTGTCTCTGGAGCGCCCCACCATGATCAAGTACGGGCTCAACAACATAAGAGACCTGGTGGGCCCGCGCGTCGATCTCCAGATGGTGCAAACCAACCCTATCTGCAGGCTAGATAAATAAGCTATTTATTTGAATAAAGCGTTAATCAGATCTGTTGTTTATTTTATTTGCTGTTGAAGAATGTGTGTGCAGTGTCATGAGCGTTTTTGAATTTACATATTGCGTGGTTGAGGAGTAGTAATGAGGGCTAACGTTTTTATACTTAACAGTTGGCACCCCTGGCGATTGACAGGACCTTACTCTACAGTGGCGCCATCTTGAGTGCAAATGCGATAGTCCTCCTACCACTTTAGCGCTCTCCAGCTGGCGCCACTGTCTTCGCTACTAGCAAGTGACAGGACCTTACTCTACAGTGGCGCCAACTGGTGAGCGCTAAAACGATAGCCCTCATTTGACAAGACAAAATTGGATGATCTATTCCACTTTGATCACCTGGACCTGGATGCCTAGGTGATTTCACCAGTGATCAAAGTGGAAAAGACCGATTGGAATAAGATGATTTTTTTAAGGAATTCCCTGATAAATATTCAATGGGCTCTATGATTTTTTCTGCATTGTCTCAATGCCGCGATTTTAATGCGTGACATCTCATTAGAAACTAAATCAAAAACTAAATCTGACAATCTTAAAACGTCAATTATTATTTTATTTATTTTATTTTTTATCCACAACGAGGAAGCTTAAAAGCTTAAGCTTATTTATTTTTGTAATCGCTTACCAAAATACTGAATTAATATTCGATTATTGATATATTGTTTTCAAAATATGGCTTTGCCAGTGCGTAAGTGTGCTAGGAAGGTGTTATCATTAGCCTTCGGTCCGATTAGGATCAGTTTGCGATGTTACGAGATACCGGAGCACCTGAAAACAATCGCCACCGACCCGAACCCGAGCTTCTACCGGATGGTGGAGTATTATTACCACAACGCCGTGCAAGTCGTGGAGCCCTCGTTGATCGAATATTTAAAAAAATACCAGCATATGTCGGATAAGAAGAGGCTGAATCGAGTGGCTGGTATATTGAAGGTAAGCCAACTTTTTGACAATGGGAGATAGCTGTTTAACACCGCCTTGGGTTGTCTCATGTAGCAGCATAAAGCTTATAATTGTGAACTTACATAATAATATGTACCTTACTTACCTGATAACAAAATTATATGAACCCAAAATGGATTATTACCTCTATTTTTGCCAGAAGTACGGTTTTGTATTTTTCAGGTAATGGGTTCCTGCAACAGCTCACTGCAGTTTGAGTTCCCGCTGCAGAGAAAGAATGGCCAGTATGAAATTATACACGGCTACCGCTCGCAGCATAGCGTCCACCGGTTGCCATGCAAAGGAGGTAGGTATTTACATACCTTCATGTATAGCTATTTCGAATAGAATAAAATAGCATACCTATTCAAATGTTCCACAGGAATCAGATTTTCAGACGAAGTGAACCTCGAAGAAGTAAAAGCACTGGCTGCGCTCATGACTTATAAATGCGCCTGCTCCAATGTACCATTTGGTGGAGCTAAAGGAGGTAGAATCACTAGATAATTTATTGTTCATCTTTAAGTTTCAAGCTCAATTCCGGGTTAACTAAAATCAAATGGTTTGTGTACGCAGGTGTTGCAATAAACCCGAAAAAGTACACCGCCGCGGAACTGCAGAGAATAACCAGGCGTTACACGTTAGAGCTGGCTAAGAAAAATTACATTGGTAAGATTTTTCCACACTATCTTCACATGGTAGTAACGATTAGATATAAAAATGTATTTAATTGACACAGGAGCTGGAATCGACGTCCCGGCGCCTGATGTGAACACTTCGGGCAGAGAGATGTCCTGGATCGTCGACACGTACATCAAGACCATAGGTAACGTAGAAAGGCGTGTGTTGACGAGCCGATTTCTATCCGGTTCGGCGCCGGGCGTGCGTGTGTTCACGAACCGGCGTCTATCCGGCGCCGGACTGGATAGAAACCGGCCCATCAACACATGATCTAATATTCACATTGCTCTTATAGCTTTATTACTTCACATCTGAACAAAAGCCATTTTTTTCTCTGCTCCTTCCCGCTGGGTACGCCCATAATTTGATCTACCCTTCACCCATCAACGGCTAATCACCTGCGAAACCTCACGAGATTCTAATAGATCTTACTAGCATTGGAATTAAAACAAACCTTAAGCAAAGCACTTCGATCTCCATTAATTGCTTGAAGAAGTTAAGACACTATGTACCTGACAGGTTTCATGGTGATCCAATTATATTTAAGGCGATTATCACACTGCGCCGCGCTCCGCGGTACGCGGGACGACAGATTTAATGATATGCAAGTACCTCAGTTTTTATAGAAAACACGCGCGGCACAACACACTGACAACGCGTCTGCGCGCGGGATTTTTTATATGAAATCACGCGGACCGCGGCGGAGCGCGGCGCAGTGTGATAATCGCCTAAGACCTTATATCAACACTGTGAAATGCATGTACAGAATACCAGCATTCATTGTTCTGAATGGAACATGATACAAGCTGAGTAGGAGCCATTTTGGTATTTAAATTGTGTAAAAAGTTTGTTTGAACCAAATAAACTATTTTTCTTTCTTTTTTCCTTTCAATAAAGAATTGAGTATTGAGTTGCAGTGCTCGATCGAAACGTCACCAAAGCCCTTTACTGAACTAATTGATGAACTTAAGCCTTTGTATTCAGGTTTCCACGACATAAACGCGGCAGCATGCGTGACGGGCAAGCCGATCAACGGCGGCGGCATCCACGGCCGCGTGGAGGCTACGGGCCGCGGCGTCTTCATGACCGTGCACCACTTCATACACAACGCCGACTGGATGAAGCTCATCGACGTCCAGCCTGGCTTCGAGGTACAACCACAGAATAATAATAAGTACTACGTACAGAAGTTTTACTTCTCGAAGGTATTTAAAAAAATGTATGCTCAATGTCATTAACAATATGGTGTAATTTAGCTTGTCTCAAGAGTCAAGCAAGTTTGTCAGAAGTTTTGTTGACAAACGTCAGTGATCGGTACTGCGCCGAAGCTATTGGGAACGTGCGAAGTGGGTGAAAGGGGTAAAGAAAACGATCGCTGCGCTCGTCGCGGCACAAATGTGTAACATTATGGGCAAGGGAAGCAAACAAACTTGTCTTGTCATTGTCAATGTTGTTTTGATTTTATTGTGATTGTGTTAATTTATTCAATTGTATTGATGATATTGTACATGTATGTTGTGTTTTAGTTAATTTACAGCCTCCAATCTTTTCCAAGAGTAATACTGTTGTAAAAGGTAAATAAAAATCAACTTTTGAAAAACATAACTGTTTTTTATTTTATAAAGTTCTGCACTTATATTATTATCATTATAATATTAAATTAACACTTTCTTATCAGTATCATTACTGCAACACATCCAAACATAAGAAGTTAGCATAAATTGGAGATATTTGATGTAATATAGATTGTGGTTCACAACAGTCAGTCTTAGATACTGATCCAAACATATCTTGAAAATAGCTTCCTTTGGAATATTTACAAGCTACAAATCGACGAATAATGGGTTCTCCCCATTGTTGTTCGATGCTCGTTTTTAAATTACTAACTTTGTTGTTAATGTAACATATTAAAGCAGCAACATGTTTGCACTTGCTGCTCTGGTTATAAACGCAGCTGCATTTTACTCCTGTGACAACCCTAGCATGATCGATCTGTAATAAATGCAATGAATATTAATTTTATAACTTTCTCTAAATCTTTAGTCATATTTTTAGGTTAGGAGATGACTTACGTTTAAACTTGTTTTATAGGGTGTCGAGGTCACCGATGTTTGACGAATGATGGTGGCTCAATAAATAACTATTGCCATTAGTTCTCAGCTCTTCTACATTCCTCACATGCTCTGCTAGCACCAATTTTTTTCCTTTTAGCTGAGTTTGGGGTTGGAAACTTATTGTGTGTTTTACACACTCAAAACCAGTTTTTATAATGACGTCCATTTTCTCCATAAACAGTTTTTATCAAATTCCATTCAACGTACCATGTGCATTTATTGTCTTCTATAGTATATTTTATTTACTCTAATCAATAAAAATAAGAAAGCTGTTGTTATTTATTTTTTGACATATGCCCCTTAAAGTTTCGTTGGCAGATGGCGCTAATGTCGTGCACGTTCCCAATAGGGCTGACTTCGGTAAAATGATGTGACGTGAGGTGCCAATCTGCAGAAAATGGCGGAGGAAATACATGATTTAGCATGAATTAAAATGAATAATATTAACTACTTATTTACCTCTCAGTGTCTTGAGGCAACTTAAAAAAGTACATTCTGTGTTTTTATTATTATTTATTTATTTATTTATTTAAAATCTTTATTGCACACATAAAAATACAGTGGTACAACAGGCAAGCTTAATGCCATGTGGCATTCTCTTCCAGCTAACCAGAAAATTAAACAAAACAGAGAATTTAAGTAGGCGGTGCAAAATAGTAAAAATACAATAAAATAAAATCTAATACAATATTTAGGCAGTTAAATACTACACAGTATTTAGTACACCATTTTCTTTATTTTTTTCCATCATACACAAGAATACGCGTGCGTGAGTCAATGTTCGCTCGTATGTGAGGCCTTGTCGAATAGTACTCTTGTAGGGGGCAATCGTGCGTGTTTTGTTTTCGATGTAAACTCGCGGAGATGAACAGGCCTGGTACAACTAACACTAACTTTGCAAGTTGAATAGTACTCAACTCAATGTGTAGACAATTTTTTCAGACATTTGCTCGACAATGGCCTCCCAAGGATTCCCAGCAAGGCCGGCCTTGCCCTGCCCGCATTCAGGTGCTTTCCGCACCTTCACCAGATCGTCAGTCCACCGAGTGGGAGGCCCGCCTACTATGTTTTCTAGTCCGTGGTTGCCACTCGAAAACTTTTCTGCTCTAATGCCCCGCCCATTACCACTTGAGTTTTGCTAATATGCACCGGTTACTGTATATTCCTACGGATCTCCTACAGTTGTAGTCAATAGCTCAACGGTATAGGCATCGAACTCTTCCGGTTCAATCTCAATCTTATTTTTACTCTACAAACACCAATAATACCGGACGTAACCAGTCAATAAACGCATTTAAATGGTCGTTTCCAGAACAAGACGGCGATCATCCAGGGCTTCGGCAACGTGGGCAGCTACGCGGCCATCTACCTTCACGGGAAGGGCGTCAAGATCATCGGCGTGCTGGAGTTCGACTGCAACCTCCACAATCCGGACGGAATCGACCCCAAGGTGAGAATACTATAAATATTTTAAGGTGGGTCTACGCTAGACGAGCGGAGTACGAGCGAACCAAAATTCATGGAGTGTGGACCGACTTACGAGCCTCAAACGAACGCGCTTAGAGCGTTTATAAAAACTCATTTATTTATGCAAGTAGGTTTTTGAAAAGCACTTTTGTACGTCCCAGTATTAACCCTACCATTGCTTCAGGACAATAAATGGGCCAGTGCTGAGAAGAAGCAGAGCAAGAAACTCAGCCACATTGTCAGCCTCTTTTTCAAGGGTTTACAGACTTTGAAATATATTAGGATAGTGTTCGACTGTGCTTCCCCTATTGTCGGTTATTTGACGATCATAAAGAGATTTGCATCGCGCTAAGTGATCTTGTAGGCTCATTATAAATAAATAAATATCCTTGGACATTTTACACTGCGCTTCTAGTCCCAAACTAAGCAAAGCTTGTACTATGGGTACTAGATAACGGATATAAACAACATACTTAAATACTTTTTTTTTGTAAATACATACTTATCTATATATATAAAAGAAAGTCGTGTTAGTTACTTCGCTTATAACTCAAGAACGGCTGAACCGATTTAGCTGAAAATTGTCAGGGAGGTAGTTTAGAGCCAGGAGAAGGACATAGGATACTTTTTATCCCGTTCGAAATTTAAAAAAAGTCTGCTTATTTATTGCCATTAAGGCGGAACAAAGTTCGCCGGGTCAGCTAGTTATACATAGAAAACACCTAGTCCAATACAAACAAATATGTTCATGCACACAAATGTTTGTACTGTGCGGGAATCGAACCCGCTACCTCCGGAATAGTAGTCCGTTTCGAACCACTACACCAAACGGCCGACAAATTATACATCCACACTTGACACCGCGAGTAGAGCGGCTTGGGCTCAGCTCGGTAGTATAGACCCACCTTTACCATATACAGGTTTATAGCCATGAAATTAGACTAAAAACGTCCACTGCTGAACAATGCATCCCCCAATTATTTCCATATTGACCGGTTGGTAGCGGCCTGCATCCAGCGCCTTCTTGCTACCTTTTTCAGGCCGTCGACCTTGTGGGTGGACGTCTCACGCTGCGCTTTCCGGTATGCCGCCTTCACTCCTGAACTTTGCTGCCCCATCAGAAATTAGACTAAAGACTATGTCAAGTGTCGTTTGCTAAGACAAGCATAAGATTTAACTTCATCCGATTAGTGTTCATTTTTGCATTCGAGCAGACCTTGAATAAAGAGGAGGTGCAATGGTAGAAACGAGAGGAGTCCTTGCACTTTTTGGAGCTGTCCAGTTGATGTTGCTAAAATATATATGTCACCGTAAAATTATGAATTCCGTCAGATTATAATCTGACGTAGTTAAATTATAATCTACCCTAACCTAACCTAACCCACTGTTAGTTTACAATCTAACGCGTTATATTATAAACTGACAGAGTTCACAATTTCACGTTGACATATACATCAGCTTACGGAACTGTACCAACCTATACACGATCAAAGAAATAAAGATTTGATGTAACGTTCAACCCAACAAAATGTTCTTTGCGCAGGCGCTTCAACTGTACAAAGCGAAGAACAGAGGCAGCGCCAAAGGCTTCGAGGGCGCCAAGGACACGGGCCCCGAGCTCATGTTCGAGCCCTGTGACATCCTCATCATGGCCGCCATGGAGAAGGCGCTCACGCACGAAAACGCCGCCAAGGTCAACTGCAAGGTTGGTATACGCTGACCCACCTGGATCTAAATCCCGGTCCCAAAGGAATTATGCAGACTTTTGAGGAATTAATTTCATCATCATCACCATTTCAGCTACAGGACGTCCACTGCTGAACATAAGGCCTCCACCAATGATTTCTACATCGCCCGGTTGGTAGCGGCCTGTATCTAGCGCCTTAACCACTTTACCTATAGTGGCTGAATTGTTGTCACCATATTTTTAACTTTATTGAGATGACATAAGGTTTAAAACCAATTAAAAATATTTTTATCTATGTATACCAGTTAAAGGGTTAAATTCCTGCTACCTTAATGAGGTCGTCGGTCCACCTTGTAGGTGGACGGACGTCACACGCTGGGTTTTACGGTTCGTGGCCTCCATCCTGAACCTTGCTGCCCCATCGGTCGGCAGTTCCGCGTACTATGCGCCCTGTGCATTGCCACGTCAGCTTGCTAAGCGCAGTATTGACTGCGCTACTGCGGTACAATATATATATTTTTTTTATGTGACAGGAGGCATACGAGCATATATGAATCATTGGCACTGCCAATATACATATGATAACATCATGCATGATGGCTTATGATAAACAGCTTTATTGGCACCTCCCACCCCCAGATAATAGGCGAAGGTGCAAACGGCCCTACGACCCCTGCCGCCGACAAGATCCTCAGAGAGCGTAAGATCCTGGTCCTCCCAGATTTGCTGGCCAACGCGGGAGGCGTCACGGTGTCCTACTTCGAGTTCCTGAAGAATTTGAACCACGTCAGCTTCGGAAAGCTCAGCATTAAGTTCTGGAAGGACTCCAATTCGGCGTTACTGGGTGAGCACTCAGTGGAATCACGCATTACTTTATTTCGAGGTAGGCTCTATTGCTAGACCCTGCGGGAATGTAATGTCCCAGTCCTTCCGAGTTTGCTGGCTAACGCGGGAGGCGTCACGGTGTCCTACTTCGAGTTCCTGAAGAATTTGAACCATGTCAGCTTCGGGAAACTCAGCATTAAGTTCTGGAAGGACCCCAATTCGGCGTTACTAGCCTCTTACCTACGGGAGGCACCTATAGTTGCCAAGTCAAAAGTCACTTCTCAATACGGGTGGCATCTATTGTTATTTTAGCAAAGCCAATACTAAATCACGGTTTGCGACAATAAAACAATAAAATTGCAAATTAAGTGTAAAATGCGCTTGTAATTATGAAACTACATTAGTTGCAAAATATAATATTCCAAATTTCAATCCGCAAGCCTCATACTTTTTAAAATATCTTGATGTAAAGTGGAGCAAACAATTTTATAGGTTAAAATACCCCGTATTGAGAGGCGACTTTGGTTTCCAAGGGCCCCGTAGGTAAAGGGCTAGGTAAATACTCAGTAGAAACGGGCATTTCGTTTATTTTGAGACGGGTAGTAGGTTATTTGGCATAAGTTTGCTAACGGCACTTTTTGTTCAATAAACAATGAGGGCTATCTTTTTTATAGGACTTAACAGTTGGAAAAGAATATTAGCAATTTGTATTGCACAAATTACTAATAGTCCCATTAGCCCCTCGTGTTAAGCTAAATAAGCTTGTGTTACGAGTGGGCTCACCATAATAGTCGAGCAGCGGTGGGATCCGAACCCGCGTTCCTCGGATCTAGAGTCGGTCAGTCCGACTCCTTCACCGTTCGGCTATCGTAGCTATGTATTTATGTCTTGCCTGCTTGTATTCCTTTCTTACAAAACAGTTTTCTATTGTATTCAGAGTCAGTGGAGGAGTCGCTGAAGGCAGCCAACGTGAACGCCAAGATCCAGCCGTCGCCGCTGTTCCAGACCATGATCGAGGGCGCCAGCGAGAAGCACATCGTCAACTCCGGCCTCGAGTACTCCATGACCAACGCCTGCGATGTACGGACTATTTAGGCCCACGGTGACTTTTTGTAGTGATGCTGTCGCGCGTTTCGTAAACAAGCGACAACACAGCTACTAACGCGCGTTAGTAGCGAAAACCAACGTCGGGGCACAAAATATAACAGAAGGTAAACTCCATACTAAGCGCACTCGAGCCACGCACACATAGACACCGCTCACGTACGCGTTATCAAGACTGTCTCGCACGAATGCGAGCGCGACTGCGTTCGCTTGAGTGACGCTGCTCACGCGTTCGTAAAATTATTTTGTTTGTGCGAAAATTAGTGAACAACAAAAAAGGGGTATTATAACATTTGTTAAGTAGACGGTTGCTTACACTCAACATTAAAAACTAAATTTTCGTGTTTGAAACTAACAGTTGATTCCGGGAGGTAAGTAAGGTATTTATTTGTATTTCAATAGTTCGTTTAACGTTGACAAATTGAAAGCCAACTCAATTATTAGGAATATCGAATTGTTTTAGAGAGGTTTTAGGAATTATTGGATAATAGTGTCAACCACTCAACTAAATACTACTTCCTTCTCGTGTATTTGTTTGTAAACTAAAAAAAACAGTCGTTCGACGCCGTCAAAGGCAGACGTGTGTCCGATTTCTTAACAAAATATCTATAATTTGGCATTTTAAANAAACTATTACTATAATAACGTACTAAATATAACTGCATAAGTATACGTGGATATCTGTTATTGTCTTTCTTCCATAGTATTAAGAGTAACATTTTTCTATCATAACGAAATAAACGCAACACATGACAAGACAACCCTGGCGCACGGCCGAGCGTGCGAGCGAGAGAGGTATGCAAAGCGAGGTACATACATGAGTTTACCTTCTGTACCTCTAGTAGGAAAAACTTTCGAGTTCGTTTCGTTGCGTATTCAAAGTGTCATCGAAAAATTTTGTATGAAAAATTAAACAGCGCCCCCTAGGGCGGCTATAATATAGGGGGCGCTGTTTAATTTTTCATACAAAATTTTTCGATGACACTTTGAATACGCAACGAAACGAACTCGAAAGTTTTTCCTACTAGAGGTACTGTTATATTTTGTGGTCGGGGCACGCGTGCATGTTCGTATAGCTCGATTAATGCTGAGCGGGAGCCTTTTTTGGCACAAAAATATGCGAGTAGTAGGTATAGTCTTAAGTCCCTTTGTTCTTTTTTTTATTTTCTTTTTGTGTCAAATAAAGTTTTTCTTATTAAAGTAGTTCTTAAAATTGCCGAGAGGTCCCGGGTTCGATTCCCGGCCGGGCAGAAATTTAAATTATGAATTTTAATTTCTGTGACGGGTCTGGGTGTTACTATGTATAATATGTATGTATTTACAAAAAAAAAAAGTATTTAAGTATGTTTATATCCGTTGTCTAGTACCCATAGTACAAGCTTTGCTTAGTTTGGGACTAGAAGCGTAGTGTAAAATGTCCAAGGATATTTATTTAAAATAAATTTATTTAAAAATATTTATTTATCTTATCTTAGTCGCATTTGCAGAGCGTTACAGAAGTGATGCCAGTGTGCTACTAACGCGTTACACTACAGAATCGCTACTGCATCGCTACAAAAAGTCGCCTTGTGGGTGAGGGACCTTATACATTTTAACCCTTTATGACACAATCGACGAGATATTTTGAACGTTATTGGCTTTTTAGAGCCAAACGATTATTATAATAGTTGACTCGGTGGGCATATTTGCCCGGGACCGTACTGATATGGCGAAGGCGACGTATACCCGTTGTTTTCATCAAATCTATGATACATTTAGTTAAATTACTCCGGCTGATTATGGTCAATTGTTTACAGAACGTGATGCGGGTGGCAAAACAGCATAACCTGGGCTTGGACGTGCGAACGGCGGCCTACGTCAACGCCATCGAGAAGATATTCATGACGTATGACGACATGGGGCTAGCGCTATAACGCTCACGTCACTATACCACCGGTATTCCCTTGGCCATTTGATTGAGACGTTGAAAATTTTTTGAGCATAAGGCCCAGAACAGACGGTGAAACGCAGCTGCAACGAAACTGCAACTTTCTGATGATTCTGTACACTTACCATGAGTTTACGTTAGATGTGCTCGCTAGCGACTGCGTAAACTAAAAATATGACATTAAATGTATGACATATTGTGCAGCGCCCCTAGCGGCTACTTTCAAGAAATATAATCTTCATAGATTTTTCGCTAGCGAGCACACCTAACGTAAACTCATGGTAAGCACACTGATGAATGAAACTGAAAGTTTCAAACTGGTCGCGTCATGTGTGGTCTCTCAACGGACGCTATGGCAGAAACTTAGATGCAACTCAAAAGTAACTAGCAGTTGCAGTTGCGTTTCACCGTCTGTTCTAGGTCTTAGAGTTTAAATTAGCTTGACAAGCCGATGACTTCTGCATTCGTAAACTAATTTGAATTGTATTGCTCCAAAAATATACGCTTCATTTTTATATCCTACAAGATAGAGATGGTGGTACGAATAAACCTAAAATGACGCTTGCAAACTTTCGGTTTAATTAATTCTATCAGATTTACCGAAACGACTGAAAGTTATATTTAAGTATTTACAAGTTGTTATTATTCTTATTTTACTTTGTAATAAACGTAAATGTAGTAAATTTTTAAAACGTGTTTCTTTTAGAAAATAGAAAAATATACTTTTTTGAGTTTTAACAAAATGATAAGGCAAGTTGGCTGCTAAAAACATCGCAAGTTTGGATTGGTCCATAAACATTTTATTATAATAACAACGAAAACACTTTGAAACTTATTCAATGCTTACGGCGTTTGTTCGAGACCTGTCTCAAACAAATGCCGGACGCATGTAAAAAAATAAGCACATTAGACAAATTATTGCAAAATTGTTCCTGTAACAACTGCATAAGGTGTCTTTTCGATGTGCCGTCGCCTGCATAGTCAGCGTCAAATATTTTGTGACACCCAAAGTTGCCAAAAAGTTCGCAACACGTCTTTTACAATGAGGGCTATCGTTTTTATACTTAACAGTTGGTACCCCTGGCGATTGACAGGACCTTACTCTACAGTGGCGCCATCTTGATGAGTGCAAATGCGATGGTCCTCCTACCACTTTCGCGCTCACCAGTTGGTGCCACTGTCTTCGCTACTAGCGAGTGACAGGACCTTACTCTACAGTGGCGCAACTGGTGAGCGCTAAAACGATAGCCCTCATTGGAATAAGGTTGTGTTGTCAACTTTTCGGTCACTGGGTGTCACGAACTATTTGACGGTGACTGTTCCTTTAACCTGTTCAACTGCATCACGTCCGCGCCTGCTCCTTGTTCTTCTTAAACCAGTCCACAGTGTCCTGTATGGCTTGCTCGAATGGCGTGAAGTGGAAGTCTTTGCAAAGAGACCGCAGTTTCTTGTTGGAGGCAGTCTTTTTGTACTGGCCGTCGGCTTTGCTGGTGTCGTAGACGATCTGGCCGGTGTAGCCGTGCGCTTTCTTGATAGCTTCTGCTACTGCGCTAATTGGCACCTCGTCTTCTTCGTCCACTGGGGATTTAAAATGATGGAGTTGAAGAGTATTGTTAGAAGAAAAGAAAAAAAAAGATATTGTTCAGTATCAGCGTTACGAGCAAGCTTTTAAAACATATGGACAGCTGGACATTGCATTTTACACAAGGATCGGTAGATCAACGGCATCGAATTTTTGAATCTCCATCTTCGCCAAAAGCTTGCAGAAGCCTTGACAGGCTGCTCGCTTTTTGGGGCGATCCGGATTTATTGGAGTAAGAAGATTTTTCATTTGTTCTATAATTTTTCGCTAGAATATTCGATTATTATTTTGTTTTGATTTCCTTCAACAATTAACCTATTCCAAAAATTTCTAGGAAGTAACATTTATTCATACAGGAATCTTGCTATGCCCATGTCTGATTCACTAGCTCATGTATTTGAACAATAATTACCTGACAATATAAGCGGTTCAACACTGTCGTAGTGTCGCAGCGTCCATACGAACAGCCGAGCCAAGTCCAGAGAGTAGATGAACTGCCGGAGCGGCTTGCCGCTGCCTAGCACCGTAAATGTTGGCGCACCTATAAATACATCATTTTATCCGTTACAAACTGAATTCTACAATCGTTCATTTGAGATAAATGACGTCCACGAACATAGGCCAAGAGGATTTCTACAATATACCAAAATTTAAATCTAAAATTGCCGAAAAACACGATGATTTCTCCTACTAAGAAACTTCAGGGTTCAGTATTTTTCTGAACGTCAACCTGTTTTATGAGATTTACTTTTACTATAATAATGTCCAACTTACGAAATTAATCCAGGATCTCCAGATCAGATAAGTAAAATAGATTTTCTAACAGTTTTTCTGCTATTTCAAAATCGTCCTCCTCTCTTCTTATTGATGTGTCCTATAGGGCCTATAATGTTCTAGTTTTTCATAAGTTCGTGAATCATGATAGATGCAAAATACGACTGAATAGTGAGTGTAATAATATTATTACGTTTGGACAGAACTATGTCAACAATACAAGAAATAAATATGATATACCACATACCGTCATTGAGAGCGGTATCCATGCGGCGTATAAGCGCCGGGATGACGTGCGACGAGTCGAGGCGGAAGTTGTCGTGCGGCCCGAACACGTTGCACGGCACCACCGACGTGAACGTACGCCCGTGCTGCTCGTGATAACCCCTGAAACGGTCAACATTCCTGCTTCAACCACTCACAGGTCGCGCGACCTGTCATTGGCTTATGATCGCGCGGCTTATTCCACTATTCCCCGTTGACAATCCCCGTCAACGGGGATTAGTGAACTTTTATTTATTTATTTAAAGACTTTATTGCACACACAACAATGTTCTGTACAAAAAGGCGAGCTTAATGCCATACGTCATTCTCTACCAGCTGACCTTGAGCAAAACAGAGATATTTAGTAGGCGGTGCTAAAAAGCTACAAAAATGTACACAATATAATACATAAAATATTATAATATATATTTATACAAAATATATACATAAATGTGAAACTTTGTGTTCACTATTCCCCATTAACGCCAATTGGGAGCTTATAATGGGGAATAACTGGTGGGGCACACTGAAAACCAGCGCCGTGGCCTTCGTCACCGTGGGCCACGGCATATGCTGAGTGGGGTCCCGTTGCAGTGGGCATCTTGTTGGTGAGTGGGTGGCACTGCTCAGTTTACTCTTGTTTTTATTTTTTTCTTCTTTTATTATTATGTGCCACTGTCATGTCTATGTAATTGCCTGTATTTGTGTGATGTCCATTGTAATAAATGTATCTTTCTTTCTAATGAACTAGAAAGTTGATGGGGATTGTCAACGGGGAATAGTGGAATAAGCCGATGGCGATTTGCACCATTCTGGGAGTGGGTAGTCAATGCGAAAAAATACTCAACGGTTAGAATATGCAGGGGAAACTACCCATTCCCAGAATGGGTTGAAGCTTCACTCTATGACCTAGTCCAGACAAGGCGATAATCGCGCGGTTTCTGGACAGTTCTTGTACATTTGCATCAAACCATATCCGTAAGGTTGCTGCCTCAGTGCCTCGCCGACGAGAATTACCCAGAAACCGCGCGGTTATCATGCTTTTCTCAATTAGGCGTATGGACACAGACGGACTAATCAGGGGCCTTCAGATAGTTGGCAATTTTAAACTTACAGATTAAATCTTGCAAGATTAATCTTACAGGATTTGACCCCTAATCCCGAATCTCGGGATCCTGGAGGATTGACAAAATTTTTAGTAATGTGACTAGAAAATGATTAGGCACTGCAGCACTTTAGTCCTGTTGTTACTAATTGTAGCTGACTGTATTTCCTAAGACGACTCTATTCAAACATCATATTATATTTAAGTTTGAATTTCAAACTTACCTATTTAAAATATCAATCATACGTTTTGCATAACTGTAACCATAATTTGATGAATGGGGTGGCCCATTGTGCACCTGAAACACAAAATATTCATATTCTTTAAAGTTCATATAAATACTCAAATCATATTTATTTAGAGATCAGAAATACTGACCATAGTCTCATCAATTGGGTATGTAGTCTTGTCTGGGAATATACATGTGGAGAGGCAGGACACCACTTTCTTCACCCCGAATTTGAAGCTTACATGTAATACATTGTCGTTTATTGCCATGTTCTCCCTCTGTAAACATAAATTATCATTTAACAAGTGAATCATGTTTCTTAGCAAATAATGTAAATATAGGTCATATTATGTACATTTTAATTTAATACTACTGTACATACATATTTTGATAAAAATCAACTAAAAACAAGTACTGAAAATGTTTATTTATTGTAATGTAGTTTAGAAATTGAATGTTTCTAATCGATCTAGAAGTTTATGGATAGTATGTTGTTATCTTACATTTACCAAGTAAATAAACTTACAAAAAAGTCCAGGTTGTGTGCCATGTTGTGGAAGAGTCCCCCCACCATGGCTGCCAAGTGGATCACATGTGTGGGCTTGTGCTTCTCAAATAATGCCTCTGTTTGCCCTTTATCCCTGTAATTAAGGTTATGATTTATGATTTACTTTACATCAAGCCAGTCTCATGATAAATAAGTCTAGGAAAAGCTACAATATCTTAAGCCTTGCAGAAGCCTTAAGCTCCTAAGATTTTGAGGTTTATAGATGTCCAGAACATTGGATGATGTCTATTTGGAGTACACCCTCAATAAATCTTGTTTATAGCTCAAATTTATTAGAACCATATTTTGGCCAGACAAGTCTGTAAAAAACCAATCATGTCCGGCTAAAGCGGGACACCTGGCAACCTTAGTCAGGTGTACGTACACTGAAAAGGAATCGTTATCACTTATTACCTGAGATCGCCATCTTTCGACCCACAAAACACCCACGTTTCATCTGGGTCGCCGGTTCCTTTTGATTTTTCTTCTTCTACCACGGTTCTGATCGCCTGCCCGACTAGGCCAGAACCTCCAGTAACTAGCACTACAGTTTTATCAGCACTCATCTGAGAGAAACACAAAAAAGTGATGGTGATAACGTTATCTATTTTATTGCTAGTACACAGAAAGATTTTATACAGAAAGCAGAATGTATACATTACCTCTTAGCTTTTACAAATTACACAACACTTTTCTATTGTTAAATGTAGCGTTGATACTATTAGACTGTGAAATTTTCAAAGAATTTTCAATTTATTTACAAATTACTAAATTCCCAGTTTGCCAGCTGTCCGGCTGTCATTTTAATCTGTCAAATTGTCAATGTCAGTCAGCCAGCCAAGTCAGTGTTTTTTTTAATTATCACGCACGCAGTCACATGGTTGTCTATGGTTTGATTATTTTCGATTCCGATATAAATTAACCGATTCTGAACGATCTATAGATGGCAGTAAAATATATTCAATTTAAGGGCTTAGGCCTTAGCTCAGGCACTCATTAGTAAGTTCATTAACTAATTTTAGCTTTTTTGTACCCAAATAGCTAGCAATTTTCTGAAAGACTAATTACCTACTTGATGTAAACATTTTTACTCTTTCTAACTTTCTTTTTTATTCTAATTAATGCCTCCAACAAAAGCACCAAACTCTTATTCACAATGTTATTGAATCCGTTAAGCCGGAAAACTATCGTCACTATCGTGGCGATAGTAGGGGATTTCTAGATTCTGAATTCAAATCGATGATTCATTCTATTGGCTATGAACTAATTAAGAAGTAAAAAGTTGTCTATGCACAAATTCTTGCATGTGATTGGCTGGTTGAATTTATACGAGAGTTCGTTCTCGCTCGAAAACGCCAAATACGCTTTCAAACCAAAATGGAGGATTTGTCGGTCGAGGTGTACGGTGAAAATGGTGCTTATTATAAGGTTTGTAAATCGTGAAGTACATTATAAATTGATTGGTTCGACAGTACAATATTTCGTGATTCCCACCCTGAGTTATTTGCAGTCGCATATTCCATCTTGTACGTTTTACTTACAAAAATATTTTTCCGGGAAGATGATCGCGGCTGGAATGGACGCCATGTCCGTCTGACAGGGCGTGATTTTTCCATGTGTTGTAAATTCGCTGCTTTTTATATTTTTAGCAACTATTGCGGCACCAAATTGGAGTCGGCACGAGCCGTATTTTATAAGTGCGCATTTTCTCGTATCTGACCTAGTTTACTTCTTTATTTCTAGCACATTACCAACTTATTGGATCATCGTAATGTTCGAAATTTCCTTTATTTTTAGGCCATTGTCACCGACGTGCTCGACAACGAGGTTCTCGTAGCCTTTGAAAATGAGTGAGTTGAAATTTTGTATGCCCTTCATGAGATATATGGTCTTCGGGTACCTTCCTATTTTTATTATTTACATGCGAATTGTGCATTGCAGCTGGCAGCCGGAGTCCAAATTTCCCTTTTCTCAAGTGTTCCTACCACCCAAAGACTCCGGCAAACACACTGAGTTCGTGGAGAACCAAGAGGTCGAGGTGTTCGCGAGGTCGAATGAGAAAGAAGCATGTGGGTGGTGGACAGCAAATATCAAGGTATTGAATTACATTACTATTTATTTTAATATTTTAACACCAACAATATTTATTTTGATTTCTGAAATCACAAGACATTTAACTACTACCTCCCTTTTAAAATTTATTGATGAAAACCATAAATATTTCAGGCAGCTATTATTAACTTTGATGATGCCTTTAATATCCTTTGAAGAGTAGGAATAGGTACTCTCTCTCTAGTAGTAGGGAAGTGAAATGTATTATTTTAAATGTATTTAAAAAAAGTAAAATGTTTTATTGTATATTGTAATAATGTATTTATTAAAAATAAGCCAAAAATAGCACCACTTGTCTATTAATTAATATTTGAAATGCCAGTTTTCTACATAGGTATATTTTTTTATATTTGGTTTTGAATTTTATTGTTTTTAAATTATTAAAACTAAGGTATTGGCTGAAGTAACCATTTTTTGTGATCTAACTAGTTTACCAGAATTACCAGTATCTCTCACCCTTGAAATATTTAAATCACACCAGGTGCCACCTAGCTGCTATATGAATGTCTCAATGGCACTGTTGGCCTTCAAATTACTATACATTTAGGGTGCTAACATTAACATTACCGGTATTCTTTATACTCAATTAAATTGAGTTAATATTTCACACCAATTTAATGATACATTATTGGGTTAGCCTGTGAAAATAGTAAATGTGCATGTGTCGATAAATAAATAGCTATTTTTGAAATATGTATACCTAAATTTTACACAAAGCTTAACTATTGAAAGCTACAACTACCAGTTTTCGAAATGAAATATCTCCAATTAGTTTCTCTCATCACTTTTTATTGTTATGAAATTAAATATTTAATTTCAATGAAAATCATTTTTGTGTCATTTCAACAAAAATGATTCGTGTTTCAGATGATAAGGGGCGACTTCCTCGTGATAGAGTACTTGGAATGGGACAATTGCTACACAGAGATAGTGCCAAAGGACCGGCTCAGGGTGAAAACTCCCAAGACCCCCATTGACAAAAACACCTTCCACAAGTTCGAAATTGTGGTGCCTGATGATCTCAAGGACTAGTAAGCATTTTTTTATTTATTTAGTACCTACTTATTTTGGAGTAAATAGTATTGTAAGTAAGGCCTTCAGCAGGGCCAGATTTATGGCTGTTCGGGCTTCTGCCTAGGGCCCCGTGGAGTCAAGGGGCCCCTAGCTAAGTAAAAAAAAATATTTTTCTATCTCATTTTTTCTATTACTCTGAGTAATTATTTTCTATTACTTTGAGTAATTAAGTAATTAAGAGGTGGGCCCCTAAGTAGTTTGCCCAGGGCCCCTAAACTCATGGGTATTGGCCTTTAGTAAGTATGGTACCTGAAGAAGTAGTGGTAAGTATTACAACTCCAGAATTGTGGTGAGATGTGAATCTCATACACATTTGGAGAAAATAATGATAAGCCAATGGAGCAGTATATTTAAGTTTTAAACAGTAGAAAGTAATAATTATCTTGAAACTACAATATAAAGAAATGTTTGCTAAACAGCACCAGTTTACGGATGTGTTGTAATATTTTTAACAAAATAGATAAAGCATAACAATTTATTTGATAAATAGAAATAGTTATTCAATCATTGTAAATCAATCAACACAAATACTCTGTTGTAATACATCAAAAAAATCAGGTATAAAAAATGATAATTTGAGTACAACTTATTTTATACTCTCAATGTATTATTAAAAACAATATTTTTACGCCAATAATTATTTGATTATTCTTAAAAGCAATTAATTTGTATAATTTAATCAATGGAATAGTATTGATACTATCAATAACAAATTTTATCGTATATCCAGTCAATAAACGAACTGATTCGCGTGAACACTGTAGGGTGGCCCGCCTCGCAGCCGTAAGCCGAGCCATACGACACGACGCCGATGAGGTACTTCTCCCCAGAACGCTCCGAAATGAACAGCGGCCCGCCGGAGTCCCCTCCGCAGGACCCGCCGTATATGCCATTCGTGCAAATCATCGACGCCCCGAATAAATTCCCATATATCGCGCACTCCTCTTTAGGTTTCACAGTTACGAAAGCGAACCTCAGGCTCTGGCTTCCCGTAATTTCACTCGCATCACCCGTTTTTCCGTAACCCACCACAGTCGCGACGCGACCCTCGTGAGAACTGAACAGGTTTTCCACGGGTAAACTTATCGGCCTGATGAGTTCGCTGAATTGGACGGGCGGCACGGTGATCATCGCGATGTCGTTGTATATCGTCTCGGGCACGTAAGCCTCGTGCGGGACGACGTCGGCGGTGATTATTCTGGTCCCGCCGGTGAACAGCCGCACGGAGGCCAGGACGACTTCGAACAGGATGGCCTGTCTCTCGCCGTCGTTCCAGCAGTGACCCGCCGTTATAAGTTTGGTGTCGGTCAGGAGCGTCGAACCGCAGACGGATGTTAAATTCATGGGCAGCGCGATAAGTAAGCCGGCGAAGAACGGATGCAAACTTCTGTAGGAGGGTAACCCGCCTGTTATTCTGGTCTCACCGCCGTTCTCCAGCTGCCATATACGGGCGGCGGCGGGCACCCCAATCCTGGCGTGGTAGTGCGCCGACGCCGTGGCGAGCACGATCAACAAAAGATGTAGCTTCATCGTGCACCTGAGCTGGACTGAGATGTATTTTGGATTATTTTATCGCAACTCTTATCAAAGTGGAACCACTTGATTGATATCCACATAATAGTTTAGCGTCGTTTTAAGTGTTTTTAAAAATATAAGTCTTATGAAATCACTTACAACGTCGTAAAGTTGTAATATTAATTTGATGTAACTAAATCAATTGTTTCAGTTTGACTTCATTAATTTTAATCTTTACATTATGATGCCTTGTAGGATGCAGTTTTAAGCTCATAGTAGACTTATCAACTCGGAAAGGGATCAACACCGTATCGCCTTTCGCGAGCTGTTTCGCCTTTTGCCCGCTGTCAATGAGGGTTTTCGCGTATGAAAGATCCGCTAGATGGCGGGACGTGGATGTGGGGTCCGACTGCTGCGTGATTGGTGGATTTTGACATATATCTGTCAACTAGCTGTGCCCGCGACTTCGTCCGCGTGGAATAATGACTTTGGGTAGGCACTTTTAATAATTTAGTCTAATTATTTTACAAATAGCTTTTGCCCGCTACTTCGTCCGTGGAGAAGTCGAAAACGTTCTCTTACGATTATTTTTAAATGTTTTAACGTTATNAAACTCTTCAGCTTTATAATATTAGTATAGATGTCATGTCAAAAATAACCAATCATGCAGCATTTGGACCTCGCGTCTACGTATTGCCATCTGGCGGATTTTTCATTCGCGAAAACCCTCATTGCGAGGCGAGGCGTTTACGTTACGGTGCGGATAACTATGCGTTGTCGTATACAGACTCCATAGACTCGTAGAATTTCATACAAATAATACTGATTGCTTCGAGTTGATACGGTTACGATCCCTTTCCGGGTTGATAAGTGTGCTACGTCCTTTAACCTAATCGTATAATCAGTAAATGCCATACAATCGAACATTCTATAATAAGGAGAATAATAATAGTTTTTAATGTGATGAGGAGTGACTGACCGTAAAAAAATACCTACCTGATTTTCATGTAACGATACTCATTACGCAATACGCACCCATAAAATTAGCTACGTCGTAACTTACAACGTAGCTGATTTTACGGGTTTCAAAATCTGTTTTAATTTTAATTTTTAGAAAATTGCCATCTGTGATTAGTTTTTCTCATGAAATTGAACAAACTACAGGGTGTGGTTTTGTGAAACAACAACCCCCTTCTCAGGGGTGTACCCTGTAGTTTAAAGGATTTAAAAAAAAGGAAAATTTAATTCGTAATCTCGCATCGCAATCGCATGTAACAATAATAATTTTCTAAAAATACAAAATTACTTAAAAATCTCGAAAACCGTGATATTTTTACTTGGTAAAAATTTTGTATTAGAGAGACCATAGTGAGGCTTATCGAAAGTTACAAGGTTTATCCATTGTTTTTGGGACACTGTATATTAAGATTCAAAAAACTTCGCTCTGCCTTGGTGGAAACCAGGTCTAAGGCTGCGTTTCCACCAGAGATGTGCGAGGATTACCGAGGCGAAGTAAATGAAGCGATTCTATTGGTTCTTTGCAAACACATCCCTCGCTACGCATCCTCGCACATCTCTGGTGGAAACGCAGCCTTATGCGCTAGATCTATAACCAGGCCTGTTCATCTTCGCGAGTTTACATCGAAAACAAAACACTCACGATGGCCCCCTACAGGATTACAATTCGACAAGGCCTCACATACGAGCGAGCATTGACTCACGCACGCGTATTCTTGTGTATGATGGCAAAAAATAAAGAAAATGGTGTACTAAATACTGTGCAGTATTTAACTGCCTAAATAATAATAAAAACACAGAATGTACTTTTTTAAGTTGCCTCAGGACACTGAGAGGTAAATAAGTGGTTAATATTATTCATGATAATTCATGTATTTCCTCCGCCATTTTCTGCAGTTTGGCACCTCACGTCACATCATTTTACCGAAGTCAGCCCTATAGCTTCGGCGCAGTACCGATCACTGACGTTTGTCAACAAAACTTCTGACAAACTTGCTTGACTCTTGAGACAAGCTAAATTACACCATATTGTTAATGACATTGAGCATATTTTTTTTTAAATACCTTCGCGAAGTAAAACTTCTGTACGTAGTACTTATTATTATTCTGTGCTTGTACTAAGTCCGCCTGGCTAGCTACCACGGCAAGTCTGTCGCCATAACAACAATGTTGACAGCATTGTTGTGTTCCGGAAGTTAGAGGTAAGATAGCCAGTTCCTCCGTGGTTGAGGATTCCGGGTGAAGCTCGTTTCCACCTTCGGCCTGATCATCACTTACCATCAGGTGAGATACAGGCCAAGAGCTTCCTCGTTGTGGATAAAAATAAAACATTGTTTTTGGGACGCTCTGTATATTAAGATTCAAAAAACTTCGCTCCGCCTTGGTGGAAACCAGGTCTTATGCTAGAACTATAACGTATCGTGTTGTCCACAGTGCGAAGGTGGAGAACGCCCACAAGGAGTTTCAGAAGGCTATCGGCGCGGCGCTGGTGTGGTACGTGCCCGAGCGCGGGCTGCTGGCCGTCATCTCGCGCTGCGAGACCTCGCACAAGCGTGCCGAGATGCTGCAGGAGATGCACTTTAGGTGACAACTCTTCTTTTTATTATTACAAGCTTTATATTGACTTGTTAGTATGTGTGGGATAATAAATCTTGCAACTGAATTTAAGACCAGTTCTCCTCAACCGATTGAGCTGAAATTTGGTATACTTATGTAAGTACGATGACAATGCAATATTATAGTACCATTGAGCTGGTCCGATGATGGAGTCGAGAGTTAGCCATAGGAACTCCTAAACAAAACGGCGGAAACTCATCGAGTTTAGTTTCGTGGGTTTTGTCTTTTCGAGCACTTTAGTGTTAGATAATTTCCAGGGTCCTGAGATTAAGATATAACTAAAAAGTGTAAAATAAAATAATAATAAAAATAAACTTTTTTAAAAACAAGCTTTTATTCTGAATTTCGAAAGCTTGTAGCGCAAACAGAGAAAAAGAGGAATAAATTTCATGCGCGATACAAGCTTTCGAAATTCAGAATAAAAGCTTGTTTTTAAAAAAGTTTATTTTTATTATTATTTTATTTTTTTTAATAGGAAGTTTTACAGCTCTGGGCCCAAGCTTTTTTAAGATAGTCGTTGATTAGGTAACACCACTCTACATACCAGATACTTTTATCCTCCATTGTCCCCGGCAGAAACACAACACGCGTGACTGTAACGAAAAATAGTATAAGAAACGCTTTGTGGCGCAGACACATGCAACGGGTTTCCACACGCGCGGCGGGAGTCGATCGCATTACGCGCAATGAGGGTTTTCGCGATTGAAAAATCCGCCAGATGGCAATACGTAGACGGGAGGTCCAAATGCTGCATGATTGGTGGATTTTGACATATCTGTCAATGTCATGTCAAAAATAACCAATCATGCAGCATTTGGACCTCGCGTCTACGTATTGCCATCTGTCGGATTTTTCAATCGCGAAAACCCTCATTCATAGGCACGCGTCAGGACTGCGTTGAATGTCCAAAGTGGACACCAGCACCGATCACCCGCGCTCAAGTTTTAGCGCCGTACGCTCATCCATAAATTCTGTCACAATAATGAGGATTTAGATTGGCTGGACTTTATTAAGTTTTATTAATACCAGTGAATAAACATTACCTCACTTTGTTAGTTACAACTGCTATGAACGTACCCCTGTTTTTCACTGATATTGAATGTTATCCATAAACTTTAGTAGATACCTTCCCATTTTAACCTCTTTTTTCAATATTCCCTCTCAAATTAGGTTCATTTGACTATGGAATCAGACTATTAGACTTTGTTTATCATCTGACCTTAAAACTTTTTGCAACATATCTCTTGAAACTGGTTAAAAATAACAGCTATTTATTTCTTTCACAGGAATTTAGCCCAGAAGCTGCTATTGCTAAAAAAGACTGAAGAGGCAGCAAGGCAACTGGAATCTACTAAAATTCACAATCAAGGAGGGTAAGTGTTAAAAGTAGAATTCTACTTTTACTTTTTGTTTTTTACATTCTAAGAAAAATGCTATGCAACACAGAACTATAGTCTATCCAATATAGCTTGATTAGAATGACGGCTGTCAAACGAATGTGACTAGTGATGGGTATGTTTCGTACGGTTCACATAGATGTATCGATAAGTTTTCGAAAAAATGATATAAAAAAATGCACCCAATTTTTCTTCATATCTTTATTCATAAAAATGACAATTATGATTTAAATTTAAAGACAGTAAAATTTAAAATTCATGTCAAGGGTGTACAACCTAAGTCGTAGTCATTATCATCAGTGTTCTTCAGTGGTTTTTTCCTCTCGCTAGAGGGCGGTGGGCATCTCTTCTAGAGCAACGGTGCTATGAATACCCAAAAAATTACCGGTGATTGATTTCCGATGTTTGATTGTTTAAGAATGAAATGTTTTTTGGTTTTTAATAGTGAACATTTAGAAAAACGTATAACTTGACTTAAATATGTTAAAAAATTAGTTAGAAAAATTTTTGTTAAATATGTTAAAAAAATAGTTTTAATTTAATATGACATTTGTCGATATGTCCCAACACTAACATTTTTGTAACTCGAGATAACCTTGTAGAGACGTCGTTAATACTCTAGCTTGATTTTTATAATTTCGAATTACTACTTATTGGTGTAATTTAACGCTGCATTTACACGAAATTATCATTTTTATTGGAAGCACTGTCGTCGAAAATATTGTTTGTAGGTCAGACGTGAATTATTTCTTGTCCGCTAATATTTAGCTCTCATTGAACGCTACTACAAAGTTATGTCGTTACTTTTGATGACATCTGTCATTCTAATCAAGCTATATTGGATAGACTATAGCTTTTAATTTCTCCAATCAACTTTTGTTCAATTTGTTATACAAGATTCAATTAAAATTTTCATTTACTTACATTAAAGTTGTACAACACTCATCTTTAAATTTATAAAAGGTAGTGTTTGTGTATGTTTTATGATTCCAAGATACATGCACATTCATTTATAATACAGTAAATAATTAAGTAGACTGCTTCAACTCTTGAATGTATGATATCCCGATTCTGGATTAACATGATATTCTTTCTTTTTAATTTGTTGGAAATAAAGTATCACAAGAAGCTACAATGTTTAATCCAGTATTGGAGATTTAGTCTGTATTATGAAACGACACATCACTTGTGCAGTATAAATCTGTGAATGCTCTAATTTTGCATTAAGTAATTTAAGCCTATAATTGGTTGAACTTAATAAGAGCTATTGCAGGCTCTAACTAATCTTTCTTGTCTACGCACAAGTGGGTTTCGTTGGATAATACGGGCTTTAAACGCATTTTCACCAAAGTTGTGAACTTGAGTGGTGGGAAATAGAAAAAGCTACTAGCTTTACTCCATGTATTTAGTACTAGCTTTCCGCCCGCGGCTTCGCCCGCGTGGAATTTTGTCTGTCACAGAAAAACTTTATCGCGCGCGTCCCTGTTTCAAAAACCGGGATAAATACTATCCTAAAATTATGCATAGAGTAAGTTTGAGTCCTTCCCCGGGACTCAAACTTACTCTATGCATAATTTCATCGAAATCGGTTCAGTGGTTTAGGCGTGAAAGCAAGACTGACAGACAGAGATTTACTTTCGCATTTATAATATTAAGTGTAGATTGTGCTGTGGTAGATAAAAGCTTACGGGAGCGAGGTCTTATTATAAGATAAGCAAAACAACATGCTACTCGCTACATTCTGCACCGCTTTACCTTTCTCGCGTAGAATAAATCCCTATTATTTCCTTCGCACAAGTTGGCTATCATGCACATCTTTGGTGGAAGCGCTTTCTTAAGTTCGCATTCTAAGGCGACACTCAAAACTCAATTCAATCTCCATGATTGGAACCTATGATTGGTTGGATTTCGATATTTTTACCAACTAAATCACGGTCTCGATTTGAGATTGAATGAAGTTTTTGGCGTCGTCTCAGAATCCGAATCTTAGGCCCGGTTTCCACTAAGGCGGAGTAGAGAGGAGATATGTTTTGAACAACCAATCAGTTTTCCTGAGTTTCTAAATAATGAAATCTAATTGGTTATTAAAAACACTTCTCTGCTCCGCTTGGTGGTAATCGAGCCTTAGGCCTGTATTATAAAACGACGCGCTCAAAATAAATCATAAAGCATACTTGTGTCATTTCATAATACGGGCCTCAGGTTTGATGTCGACATCGATGATAATCTAGCGACATGCGACGACATTCATATAAATTTATTGTATTTGTATGAAGATCTTGTCTTTGTCTCTGCTGCCAGTCTCGATGTCGAAATCAAGCCTGCACATCTAGGATGCGCGCCGTGATAAAATCTTATCGATCATAGACTATATATTGTCGTCTCATATCGATAAGATTTTATCTAGGCGCGCATCCTCGCCTATTGGGAAGCCAAAACACGCGCGGCAGGAGGCGTACGATGACTAACGACACCTCGGGCCGACAGCGTCATCATCGGCGGCGCTCGGCTCACACACTCGCCTTGGGACACCACCGTCGACACACGAATACTACTACTAAAACACGTCCTTCGAGCCGGATCATTGTAAGGGTCCTAACGAATAAATTAAATTAAAATAGCGGCCTGTATAAAAATAGGTGCTGTAACTTTCGCCAGCCTAATTACAAGAAATAGGCTAGATGACAAAATTTCAATTATTTGTCCGACAGACAGATAATTAGAAAATATTCGACTCATATTTTTTTTTCATAATTAAATAATAACAGTGCTACATCGAGTTGAAATGGCGCTATACGTCACGCTTGAGTAGAATTTTTACTCAAAAGTGACGTCACGCGTTATTTTAACTCAATAATTATAGTACTGTAATTAGTCGATTATGGAAAAAAATAAAAAATATGAGTCTTATTTTCTAATTATCTGTCTGACAGACTAAATAGAATTTCGATTTCATTACCCAGTCATCATCCCTATTATAAGGGTACGCGGTATTCGTGCGTCGACGGTGGTGTCCCAAGGCGAGTGTGTGAGCCGAGCGCAGCCGATGATGACGCTGTCGGCCCGAGGTGACGTTAGTCATCGTACAATACCCGGCGATAAATATTGCACATCGACTTTTAGAAAGAGATAATCGGCTAATTTCGGTTTCGTAGAGCGTTATCACTGTCGCACTTGAACAATGACTGACAATGACGTCTTGTCAAAGTGTAAACAAACTTTATTTTAAATGTGTGCAATTTTAAAATAAAGTTTGTTTACACTTTGACAAAAAAAAATCAGATTTTGTGAATTAAATTGCTAAAAACTTTTTATAGTCGTGAAAGAAGTGGTTCACAATGTGTTAAAAGTATTTGACGAAGATAAATATTTAGAGTTTGGACAATATTTTCATTTAATAATGTTTTGTCAATGACGTTCTGTCAATCGTATAGGTAGTGTGCGACAGAGATAACGCTCTACGAGCCGAAATTAACCGATTCTCTTTCCAAAGGTTGATGTGCAATATTTATTGCCGGGTACTGTACGCCGCTCGCACGTCTCCCGCGCGTGGTTCGCTTCCCATCATCGCCCTCTTCCCTTCGTGACAGCACGGCTAGCATAGTGACACGTGTGATTCCGATTCAGAGTAGATGAGTGTGTGACCGGCAGGCACACGGACGAGTTCTCAGTGCGCGAGGACCTGATGGGGCTGGCCATCGGCACGCACGGCGCCAACATACAGCAGGCGCGTAAGGTGCCCGGCGTCACCAACATCGAGCTTGAAGAGCTGTCCTGCACCTTTAAAATCTGCGGCGAGGTGCGTGCGTGGACTACTTTATGCTTAATCATTATTGCTGATCCCCTCAGCAATGCCACTAGTGTTCATCTGAAAAAGCCTTCGATACTATCGATAGCTCAAAACGAATACTATTGAATATGTGCAATACTAGCGGCTACTTTCAAGAACTAAAATCTTCATAGTTTTTTTTTACGCACTCGCTAGCGAGCACACCTAACGTTAATTCATGGTTAGCACACTTATCTGCCCCCGATAGTTGAAAGGGCGCATCTAACACCAAATCAAAACGGAGATAAAAAGTTTCAAATAATTTAAATAATTATTACCCATTTAAATTATTTTCTTAGCTGTCCTTGAGCTAACTCGTAGGTTCGTAAAAAGTTAGATGCGCCTTTTCAACTATCGGCAGTTATTCTGTGGTACAGTCAGCGTCGACTAGTTAGTGACACCCATTTCCAAGAAGTTGATAACACAACCTTATTCCAATTCCAAATGCTACAAAGACGTGTTGACGAACTTTTTAGCTACTTTGGGTGTCACGAACTATTTGACTGTAATACAGGCTATTTTAGTCTGATAAGCTGTACTTGCAGCTTTGTGTCCACTGGCAACAACTGACGGTTGATGGCGGCTTCTACGTTTGATTCGAAGTTTTTTTTAAACATCAGGCCTCGGTAATAATGGCCTTCCTATCCGAATACCTATTCAATTCGGAACATCCATTAACGTTTATGTTCAGAACTGCACAATAACGCGAGACAGATGTGACTAGAATATTGCCTATAGTCTGGTCTGTGAGCACGTAGAATTTTGTCAAATGACCCCAAGCTACCCATCCTTATCGCTCGCGCGTAATTATGTTGCTATCGCGCTCGCACACTCACTGCGGGTGCCATTCGCACAGTCGCGTCAGCAATATAATTATGCGATAAGGATTGGTAGCTTGTGGTCATTGGACAAAATTCTACGTGCTCACAGACCGGGCTTAAGTAAGAAAAAACTGAACTGTCAATTGTTGCCTAGTGGACACAAGTTTACTATGCAAGTCAAGGGACTCACAGCACTTTACAGGGCGTCCAGTGTGCAGCTAACGCTGGGCGCCCGGCCTACCGCCCGCCGACTCACGGGCCGCGGCCTTCGTGCTAACAGTATGCGGACGCCACAGGGCCGGCGGCTTATAGCCAAATGCCCCGCGGTAGTATGGGGCGTCCGACAAACAACCAAAATTAGGCAGTAAAAGAATTCAGTTAATTAATACGAAATTGTATCTTCATTCAGTTTCGTTATTTTCAGTAACAAGAGTATATCAACGGTGAAGTGTCAATAAATTAATAATAACTGACATTTTGGCGATTTGTTTTATTGCATATTCGTGCTCAAAATAGGGTTAAGCACATGCAATATTTCATCAAAAATTGAATACCAAACCTTTTCGGACCCACTTAATATATTAAAAAAAAAATGATCAGAATATTAGAATTACGAAATGAAACGTCTTTTGTTTCGCCTTCTGTAAAATTTACTTTTTGCAGATATTATTTATTGATACTTCACCGTCGATATCCACAATTTACAGGGTAGCAGTAGGTCTCCTATCACTCTTTACGCAGCTTTCTTGAGAACTAAATTTTCAAAACCAAAATCCTAATGACGTCTTTCTGTCATCTGAAATCTTAGCACAGCAATTAATTTTAAATTTTAAAGCAATTTCATAAGGTTCAAAACTGAGTTGGATTAACGCTCCCTTATTGTTGTAGTCGAGCGAGGCGGTGCGCGCTGCGCGTGCGCTTCTTGAATACGCGGAAGAATCCATCACTGTGCCGCGCGCGCTCGTGGGAAAAGTCATCGGCAAGAACGGCAAGGTCATCCAGGAGATCGTCGACAAGAGCGGCGTCGTGCGCGTGAGTTCAACCCCCACCCTCACCCCCCACTGTCCCGGACCCGTTGTTCTAGGTGAAGGACAAACGCGACACGATGCGACGCGACCCGATGCTAAAATATCAAGTAGTCGGTGTTATAATAGACAGTTTGACACCATACCCCAATAATTCGAAACCACTACTGTTTTAAAAAGATCCTTCATTCTGGTCTTAAAAAATTAATTAATTTTAAATTATCTGTAAATTAAGAATTTTGTTCGCAATGTAATTGAAAAAAGTAGTACAATTGAGTTGACAAAATAGTGACGTCACTTGCTTGTAGTGCCATACAAAATCTATGGGAGAGTTTCGTTTTGACAGTTTTAAAAAGTATAGCCTGACCAGGAACATAAAAACCCTCGCCATGTTGCGGAAAACAAATGGTACTAATTTCTTTTAATGGCAACAGTAACTGAAAACTTCATTGTCATGTCACCTTGCATGTCAGTCTATTACTGTCAAAGTGTAAACAAACTTTATTTTAAATGTGCCCAATTGATTTTGTGAATTAAATTGCTAAAATCTTTTTATAGTCGTGAAAGAAAAGTGGTTCACAATGTGTTCAAGTATTTATCGAAGAGAAATACTAAGGGTTCGGACAATATTTTCATTGAATAATATTTCCGACAAGGTTGTCAAATTGAATGACATGTTTATCGTATAGTACAGTCCATTATAAAAATTAGCTGTGGTTTGTTTCAAATACCTATTTTAAAGTTTTTTGTCACTTTCTAAGTGTTGAATTTTATGGAATTGGGAAAGAAGTACCGAGTTTGAAGCGTTCATGAGCAGACATTGCAGTTGAATATTCAAGTTCTGAATTTGATTATTGATGAATAATAAAATAAATCCTACTAACTCGATTGATGGTGTCATTTAATTTATTTAAACCAGGTTACCTACAATAATATTTTTTCGTTAATTTATGAAAATATCAAATTAGCCCGTAATCCTGAATCCTGATACATAAAGTTAGCCTATTAATTTAACACAGGTACGACTGTACTCAGTGTTGCACTATCAAATGCAATTGCAGCGCCTCTGTGCCAGGGTTTTTATGTTCCTGGTCAGGCTATACGTAAATTGACTGGTGGTGTCAACATGTCTATAGTGGCCAACTGGTCATCACTTTTTTTTTGTTGTTGGCAATACTCGTCGATGCCAACTTGATTTGTGACTTCACATGAAGCGCATCACGTCGCCTCGCTTCATATCGCGTTCCGTCGCTCATCTAGGACAACGGGTAATCCCCTCACACAATATACTTACGCGCGTTATCATGCCTTGCCTTTATATTCGTGTGCATATCTAACGTTTGTTTTAAATTACGATTCAAAATTGGAACCATGTCCATTGGCCGAAACTAACTACTTAATTTGATACGGCTGTCTAAAATATTAGTAGTTCGGTTTTTATTATAATCAAACATGCTTTATCAATGATCTCTGATCAGAATGCTAAACGAAATATTAAGATAAACTTTTCCTTACTTTCACACGTATATTATTATCTGAAGACAAGAAATGACAATGCATTTTTCATGAATTGTTCTTTACTACCTGATAACACGTTCTTCCCACCCAAAATGAAATATTTCATAGATTTGTCAAGTAATTACATTTCACGTTATTCTATGTCGCACTCCTTGTATTATATGAATTATTTATTGGTTGGATTGGACATGTTACCATGGAAAATCTAGAATAAGTGATACCTTTTAAATAATAATTGAACTGATGGATCTGATGACTGTTGGGTTGGTGGTGCTTTCTTTGCAATGCGTCAACTTCCTTTGCTTCGTAATATTGACAAGTGAAGAATCCTTGAATATAATATTATGTCAAATCCATCAGTAGATATAAAGTTTATCTATCAGTTGCTATAGTATATTTTGAAACAATAAAATCAAAATATAAATAAAATCATCGCATATTCCACTTTTTATAGTATACTAATTATGCTTCAGAATGCTACAAATGTAGTAAATGCAATTCATTTATCGTTCATGTAAAAATGTATTTATTCACACGCACTGCTACTACACAATATTATCAATACTACTGCTCGTATGTATTTGCTAACTACAATACAATGAAGATATTTCTAAAATGTTAGTCCATTAAGTTTACTCGAGTGTAAAGTAAAAACAAATGAATTTATTAAATGTTTGTCGAAAGGTGTTTGAGTGCGTGCTTTGGTTTCCGCATGAGCGCTTCCGACCGGCGGTAGGCGGTAGGGTAGTAATAAAATAATTTTAACCGTGAGATTGCAGCATGTCTTATTAATATTCTGACGAATTAATAAGGCATGAATCTCTATTGTACTAAAATTTATGATTGGAAACTTTTAGATCTACCCAAGTGAGCTCAACCTAAAACCTCCAGTAGACATACCTTCTCACCATAAGAAATCTTTAGTAAGTTCATTGTTATTATAATATATGATATGATTCCGAACACTTCAGACTATGTCTACCACTTCCTCCTAGTTCTAAAGTTACATGATATGATAATGAATATATTCGTTAAAGATGATGCATGGATGTCCATATAAAACTCTGATTTAGACACTATCTTCTTCCATAACTACTTATTGTATCAGTTATATCTAATCTTGGATATAATTGTTGAATGCATCAACTTTATAAGATTTTTCATTGCAACTCTATCATAGTATTTAATATTATATTTTAAGTATTGACAATTTAGAATACTTATCTAACTTAAAACTTATACATAGAAATAGGTTTAAATTATCGTGAAAAATCGTAGGGACTAAATTGACTAAAATCACAAAACATGTTAAAAAGTTTCGCGCAGGATTGGTCTGGTTTATCTTAACGCATGGCTCGCCTAACGTTTCAATATTGGTATTTCTGTGCCTAATAATTTTTTCGTCGCTTTGGGTGTCATTATTTGAAGGATAACTAGAAATTAAATAAATTCATATAAACTACAAAGTAATGTTAAATGCAAACACAATGAAATAAATCCACTCCTAATAATTGATTCATTTACATTACATTCATTAACAGATGTATTGACTTAATTTCCCATTAATCACTTATTGTTTTTCATAATTGTGCGCTATTAACTTGTTTTCTTAACTTGATTGAATGAACGTTAAAACAAACCAAACAGTAATTTGCTTGGTAATAGTTTAAATTGCCCGACGATTTCTTATCGACCGGACATCTTGATTTAGTGCGAACCGACAGAAAACTTAAAGCAAGACAAATCATTTAAAATTAGAAGAACCTAGCTTCACTTTTCATGCATTTTATTTCAATGACCAGTTCGTATGGACTGTGTATTTATTTTCCCAATCCTCTCTCTGTAATATAAACAATCGCCTAGATTGCGTACAGCGCATGCCTGTACACAAGGTTGCGCAAATATTGCATGTACATCTATAAATATCTGTTGATTTAGTAACTCGTATGCAGTTATGTTCGGTTGAATGACTATATTTTATTACTCTCAATTGTGTACGTTTACTGAAAGAAATGTTCAAGTTAGTCGCTGAAAACTGCCTATGTTTTGCTGATGCATATTCGGCATAGAGCAATATCTACGTCACACAATCGTTCCTTTGGTCTACCATGAGAATCGCTTGTATTGTAACAAACTTGACTGGTATCATGTAGCGACATTCTGTGCTAGACGTAATGCGAGTCAGGCTGTTATTGATATAGATATTGGCCTTACTTTACCATGTTTAACCTAAGTTATAGTTTTGTTCAAATTTGACATGTCTGCTTCAAATAACTCCAGAAATTGCGATTACTTTTCCGATTGATTTGGTTTATGTGTTCACTGTTATTTTTCAAACATTAAGTTTATACTATGTCAAATTTAAATGCGATTAAAACTATTGTTTACAATTTCGGGCATTCAAAGTCAGTTTTGCTAATTCTTGCTAAATTAATAACTAACAAAATTACAGGTTACCGGCGAACCATATTTCTCTATCCGTGACCTATGAAATAAAAAATATTAATAAATAACCTAATAAATCTATCAGCAAGTGGCGAAACAGGCTTTCGGGCTCGTTTTATGAAATGACGCTCAAAATTCAAGAATTGCGATTGGTCTGGCTTGAGTTGTGGGCGTGGCTTCAGATCACTGTGTACTGCGCAAGTACACTATGCGGAAAATTGACCGAGACGGAGCTCGAGCCCGCACATCGAAATGGGGGAAGGAGATAGTAAAGCCTTGATCACACGTACCGAGCAAACGGGCGAGACAGTGCTTTCGGCCGAGTACTCGGTGTGTACATTACGCCGAGTGCTCGGCCGAGCGCTCGAGTATGTGACTCGCTCACCCAACTGTCTCGACCGAGTAAACATTTTACTGTATCGCCCGTTTTACTTACTCGGTATTTACTCGGTACGTGTGATCAAGGTTTTACACTATTACGTCTCGGCCAATGTTTCGCATTGAGTACTTTCCACTTGTGTAAGTGCGAGTGCGAGTGCTGAGAGTGTGGGTGCGCAGGTGAAGGTGGAGGGCGACAACGAGCCGCAGCCGTCGGCGCCGCGCGAGGAGGGCATGGTGCCCTTCGTGTTCGTCGGCACGCGCGAGAACATCGCCAACGCCAAGGTGCTCGTCGAGTACCACGTGGCGCACCTCAAGGTACACACACACATACACGTCGCCCAAGGCAATGAGGGCTATCGTTTTAGCGCTCGCCAGTTAGCGCCACTGTAGAGTAATGTCCTGTCACTTGCTAAAGCCTGGTCCGTGAGCACGTAGAATCCCGTCCAATGACCCCAAGCTGCCCATCCTTATCGCTCGCACGTAATTATATTGCTGTCGCGACTGTGCGACGCGTGCCCGCAGTGAGTGCGAGCGCGACAGCAACATAATTACGTGCGAGCGATAAGGATGGGCAGCTTGGGTTAATGGACGGGATTCTACGTGCTCACGGACCAGGCTTTTGTAGCGAAGACAGTGGCACCAACTGGTGAGCGCTAAAGTGGTAGGAGGACTATCGCATTTTGCACTCATCAAGATGACGCCACTGTAGAGTAAGGTCCTGTCAATCGCCAGGGGTACCAACTGTTAAGTGTAAAAACGATAGCCCGCATTTTTTTTATTTGTCACAAAAACTATAAGGCTCAGTCTCCGGTTAAACGTTATGAAGGACGCGCCTCGTTGATCCATGGATTGATGACAGTGGCGAAATAAGCAAAATGATCTTTGACACTCGTTTTGGAGGTCCTTACGTCTAGCAGAAAACTGTAACTGGTTAAATTATGACGTATCTTTTTGTAACATTGAGTAATTGACTGTATAAACTAACTTCAGTAAGTTTCTGAGAGTTTGTTGAGTTGGCAAAGTAATGGTGACATTACTATTTTGCTTGTAAAAAGTTCACCCTTTGACTGGTTTATTTTCATTGTTTGGTGATTCTTTAGTTTCAATAAGTAGATTGCCAGACTGATAGACAGTTTGTCTCGTCATGAATTTGAGGAAAATATTTTTTATGTAAATAATCCGGCTCTGCCTACATGAAACGCTAGGTATATTTATGTGAGTCACCGTCTACTGCGTTATTCAAAAGTTACCAGACAAAAAGTTCTGCAGCCACATAAAAAGCTGGACAGACCGGACGAGAGACTATTCAGCGGGATACGTCTATAATGTCAAACGTGTCGGTTAAAGCCGGACACCTGGCAACCCTGTCTGGGTGTGAACAATCCTATTGACTGCTAAAGACCGGTCTGTGACGTAGAAATTTGTCCAATGACCCCTAGCTACCCATCCTTATCGCTCGCGCGTAATTATATTGTTGTCGCGACTGTGCGACGGGTGCCCGCAGTGAATGTGCGAGCGCGACAGCAACATAATTACGCGCGAGCGATGAGAATGGGTAAAGCCTGGTCCGCGAGCGCGTAATTATATTGCTGTCGCGACTGTGCGACGCGCGCCCGCAGCGAGTGTGCGAGCGCGACAGCAACATAATTACGTGCGAGCGACAAGGATGGGCGGGCAGCTTGTAGTCATTGGACGGGATTCTACGTGCTCACGGACCAGGCTTTAGCTAGGGGTCATTGGACAAAATTGTACGTGCTCGCAGACCAGACTATAGCGTTATTCGTATGCAGGAGGTGGAACAGCTGCGCGCAGAGAAGCTGGAGATCGATCAGCAGCTACGCGTGGTGATGTCGGGCAACTCGGCCGCCTTCCCGCCGCCGCGCGGAGCCCCGCCCGCGCGCGCGCGCCGCCCCCGCCTGCCCGCCGTGCGCTACCCGCCCGGTAACTACCCTACGCATGTTTCGTACACAATTTTTAGCTTACTTATGCCCGTTTTCACCGTGAATCCCTAATTTTTAAATAACCCCTATGGTAAACAACACGAATTTTGTATTCAAAGGGGTCACTTAAAAATGAAGGATTGATGGTGAAAACAGGCATTAGACCACCGACTTTTAAGCTAAGAACTCACGGCGCGATTTTCACCCGCGCCTGCGGCGGTTGTGGAATTACGGTTTTAATTCAAAACTCACGGGAGCGGTTATTCTAAGAACTCACAGCGCGATTTTAAATCGCTATTCAGTGCTAAGTCGCTGGTACAAAATGGTCGCCCACCGAACGACGCGCGGGCGAAACCCGCGTCGTGAGTTGTGCATTAGTTTTTACATAAGTATCTGCATTAGAGATGAAACGGATAGTTGTTTGGCCGGATACCGGATACCGGATATCCGGCCAGGTGCTAGGCCGGATAGCCGGATATCCGGCGGCCGGATAGTTGGCCCATTGTCTCGTTGCATGTCGTGATGAGTTTAGCGCCGCACAGATGCTTCAAACACGATCAGTGGGTCTATTAGTAGACTCGACTAGTCACACTTTTCGAAAATCGAATCCGTCCGAATAGAATGTCAGATTTTGCCACTTGTCTAGGGGGCAGATCAATTCGGGCGATTTCGGTTGCTATCGTGAGTGTGTGATTGAATAGCGAAAATTAAATTAGTTTACTTGCTGCGTAATCTGACTAAACTGCATGCATCATGTCATCAGACCATCGCATCAGCGAAACAAAGATCGCCTTTTTATTTGGCAACTAGATGAAAACCCGGCTTCGCTCGGGTGAAATTTGACTCATAATACACAATTCTAGGTGCAAAATGTAGATAGATGTTTCTGTAGTCATCGGTTCTCAAAGAATATTAAATTCATATAGCTTCGTTAGTTGTGTTTAATAAATATTATTATGGTAAATAAAAACTGCAAAAGTTTTTACACAAATTATTTTTATTTTAAATCAGTCAAAATAAACTAAGACAAATTAACAAAACAATCAAATTCAATCGTTAATATAGGTTATGTAAATAACTCTTATTAAGGCGATTAGAGTCCTCAATCCGCGCCAAATGGGCATTTTGTAAAGCCTACTCCTCTTTTACTGCTGGACAGAAATAGTTGAAAAAAATATATGTTATACAACAGTTCAAGAACTACATTTGTGACGTTTGAATTTTCGCTACGTCTCTTTGTTTTGGATTAAAAAAATAAATACGGGACATCGATTTTTTACTTAAATTCCCTACTCCTCCAAAACGGCTATGTTAATTTAAAAGATTTTTGCACGAATAGATTAGGAATTCTTTAATCTTTAAATGACACGTTGCGTTTTTCAATCGAACATTACTTTCATTCATAAATTTTACTTTTGATAAATTCCGAACGTTTTGCTGTTGAGGGGGCCTTCGCGGGGTGCGGGCGGCAGTCGGCCGCTGGCCTTCAGACGGGGAGGTTGTGTCACTCGCTGCAAACTGACATTAGCGATCAAAATGAATTTTTTCTTTGGCTTACACCACATGCAGGAATTGAACCTACATCCTCGACTTCTCCGTTGTCGCGCTCTTACCATCTGAGCTGAGTTTAATAAGAGAAATATATTTTATTTTTAGACAAATATTCAAATAATAATAAGTATTGTGAATGTATGTAGGTGTAGGTATATCCTCCCACCTCTATATTTATTTTACTTTACTCAGTGACCTACACTATTAACTTACCTGAAAGTCATCAAATAAATCTTGTGATGCAGCAGAAGCAGCTTTTTGCTTTTTAGGAAAAAGGTTTGATAGTGCCCGAGCCTTGTTTATTCTTAACTGCCTAATTGTTTCTAAGCCACAACACTCGCAATAATTGAAATTATCTGCAAAAATATATTACACAATTATTTATAATAAGAACCAGCCGAGCTCAAGTGGAACTTGCGCATGAAGGAGACTATTCCGTTATCGGAAAAAACGGTGCAAAAATCGTGTCTGTTTCTGTATATGTTGATAACAACTCAACACAGGCTATGCATGTGGTCATTTATTATTATTTGTCGGGTTAAATAAAAAAAATATTAAGCCGCTTACCGAGTATAATGTTGTCGCATTCCACATATCGACTGCACATTTGAATTTGTTTGCAGTTTCTTACAAATATTTTGCCATTACAAAAATTGCATGTCACTGGAATTTATCACTGTGCGAAACTAAATGACATTGACATTTGAACTTCAACTTTTATGGTTATGGCTAATATTCTTTTTCTGTGGTTGAATCGGCCAATATAAGGTTAAAAGAAAAAACACATAACAAAGAGTGTATCATAAAAATCGCGAAACGCACTGATCTCCATTTATTTATGGATCGATGACAACCCAGCAAAGAGGTAGTAAGGTTTTGGCGCTGATCGCATAGTGAGTGGATAGTGAACTACTAAAGATGGCGACAGCGGTTTGTTTGAAATTGTTTGTCAGTGCCATCGGAATTTAACGAAATTCTCCATTATCCGAATTTTGCGGATATATGTTGTCGACTCAAAATCGATATTTTTTTATGCTTTGTTATTCATATAAGGTTTCGATCCAGTCTACCGTACCCCTTGACGAAATTATTAATATAGATATTTCGACATTAACAGATATTTACTATTTATGTATTCGTCATTAGAGTGAAAGCCCAGAATAAGAAATAAGTTTTTTGAAAAGCCTTAATATGGCTTTTTTGTAACTTTTTGGACTTTAAATAAAAGCCGTCATTATTATAAGCCATTTTATTGATATTTACCTCAAAGATTAATGTATTTCATTTTATTAATAGGAAATTGTAGTAGTTTTTTAATATCCGGTATCCGGCCGGATAGTGAGTTACTATCCGGTATCCGGCCGGACAGTAAATTTAGGCCGGATATCCGGCCTACCGGATAGTTACCGGATATCCGTTTCATCTCTAATCTGCATTCTACAGAAGCTGCGGGCTCGCAACCGCCGCGGGCGCGGGTGAAAATCGCGCCATGAGTTCTTAGCCATAGTCTGCCGATTGTTGGAACCGATGTATCCGGTTCCGAGGAATCAATTGGTGTAATGTGCTATCGGCCAACTAAAAGTCGGTGTTCTGCGCCTAGACTTAATCTAAATTTATTATCATCTTACCTGTAAACTTTGTTTTGATTAGCTATTTATTGTTTGATTGTGTTAAAAATTGGAATGAACTAGAATCACACATAATATTGACATGACATTCTCATTTATCATGACAAAATTAATGATCCATCAAAAGTATTTGACTTGACTTAATTTCACCGATTTATTTGTTGCTCAATTTTTGATTTGAAATGTCCTAACTAGATCACAACAAAAATACAAAGTATTTTCATCTTTTCTCACCTGGGGAAATAGACTAAATAAATATAAGTGTGTGCCGCAACATTATCGTTTGTTGTTACTAGACAGTGTTGATTAATTGGTTGTTTGTGCAGGCGGGCGGCGTATGACTCCCGAGGTGGGCGAGGAGCGCGGCGATGGCGGCGGCTACCGCCCGCGTGGCGGACGCGCGCCACGACCCAACAGGTGCGTTTTACATTATGTCTATTATCATTTTCTTCGCGAAGGTATTTAAAAAAATGTATGCTCAATGTCGTTAACAATATGGTGTAATTTAGCTTGTCTCAAGAGTCGAGCACCATTTCGTTGACAAACGTCAATGATCGGTACTGCGCCGAAGCCATAGGGCTGACTTCGGTAAAATTATGTGTGACGTGAGGTGTCAAACTGCGGAAAATGGCGGAGGAAACACAGAATATGCATGAATTATATTTTGTTTCTATTATTATTCAGGCAGTAGAAAAATACTGCACAGTATTAATTACACCACCGTTTTTACAAATAGTTTATTGTCTTTACAATGCAAATGGGTGAAGAATACACGTGCGTCGTGCGTGCGTCAATACTCGCTCGTGATTGTCCTGTCGACTAGGTACCGCAGAAGGGTTAGGCGCGCGTGTTTTGTTTTCGATGCAAACTCGCGGAGATGAATAGGCCTGCTATTATTATCTACGTTCCCATACGTTATATTGTTATACATTACACAATTTACATGTGTACAACACACTAATCACACCCTATCTCTCCAATACGTCTGGCTAGCGTGGGGAGTTAGCTAGAGTCCTCTATTATCCTCTGGTAAAAGAGGGTTGAGGATATTCTTTTGGTGGAGATAAATGATCTGACGATGGTATTATCATAGATAAAATTAATCATTGAGTATAAAAATATACAGCAATATTAAACTTTAGTGGCTGTTTGCAGTTGTCTTTTCAATGAATGTTACAATCATACACTTGGTTTATAGCGTTTCACACTTATCAATGAGTGGCTGATATGCAGTGAACGATACGCGCGTAGTACACAAGTACTTTTTGTTGATGTTTTTTGACACATCACGTTAACGTGCTCGGATGTGTGCCGTTCGGTCTATGTATTGTCCTTTAAGGCCGGGTAGCAGAGAAAATGGCGAAAATTAGGTTTTCATTTTTCATTTTTGAGGTACTAAACAGTAAAATTAAAGGCTAAGATTTTTATTGGGCATAGTTGAGGATATTTTCTAGGGCTATTAACGGATGGAAACACGATTTGATGAAGTTGACTCGATAGAATAAATTCCCAAAGTTACCTCTATTCGTTTTCTATTTATGGTTTTATTTTTAAAATAAGCGATTTGAGATTCTAAATCTTTTACTAAACTAAAGTTCAGAAATAACTTGAGGGCTTTTAACGGATGAAATTTTTATATTGCGTCTTATTTAGTTACTATGTTAAAAAATGTGGAAAAAATCGTCCATGACGGCTTGGACAATCTCAATCAGTCGCGCGGTGGCGCTTACGGAGGACGGACGCGTGTCAGTTTTATGGCCGTGACAGTTCGCGATTTGTCAATATTTTTGACAATGATGACTTTGATGAGTCACAGTATAATAATATCAGTGTTACTGGAGAAAGCTTGCTAGAGAACGCATGAAGCGTACAGGTACGGAATGAACCCGCTCGCTTTCGGAAACAATATCTACATTAGTATAAAATATATTCTTATGAGACAAATAATCTTATGGTATAGTGTGCTTACTTTCTGTGAAAGTGTTCTTTCACAGAAAGAAGCAGTAGAAAGCGGGAGCGAGAGGCCTCAGCCGACACTCCGGTTATCCGCCGCCGACACCCTGGGCGCAAGAGGACAGCTTATGGTCTCCAACTGTCCCTTCCTAACAGGCCTCGGTCGCTAGACATGGAGGTGTCTGGTGGCGGCTAAGGACGAATGCTACAGGCAACAGCCAATGGCGATGTCCCGCGTTCCCTCATATCACTCATATGGATCATGGCAGAAACAGTCAGGTTTTTAGTGGGTGTAGGGGCTACCCACCTTCTGGTAGGAAGAACCCCACATAACCCACTAGCTGCCCCCGCAGCTGGTGGGTATGAAATGTTATGCATTTTCCGGATAAAAAAAGAATAGTTAACAGGAAAAGTTTGTTTTGAATAGAACCGATTTGAACAAATCTCTCACCATTAAAATTCAATTTTTTTCTGCTGAACATAGGCTGTATAAAATATTCTCAAAATAGTAAAAAACCTTTGATAATTTACTATTTGAAAAAGAATTTATGTATTTATTATTTATTAGGACTAATGTATACCATGATTTATAATTATGGAGTCGGTGTTGGAAGATTTGAAGATTTTATAGTTTCCTTGAGCTGTCACTTGACAGCCTGGCACACTTTTACGATGGTGGATCAAAGTATTTTGGTTTGACTATAGAGCGTGAGAACACGCACACAGTCACAATTATTTTAGTGTGAATAAAAATAGCATCGAAATTACCTAAACTTGACATGCCACGCTAGACGTAAACGCTCTTAACTCTTTATAGGGCTTTGTCAAATATATTGCCACCATAATTTAAAACCTTGTTTACCTAACAAAGGTCGAAAAGCTATGAATTTTTTGAACAATCTGTACCCTATTATATAGAGCAGTGGTTCCCAAAGATGTCTGGGCTACGACTCGTCTAATACAAGTTTCCAAACTTGAGATCCACCTATAGGAAATTTAGCCCGCTGCCTAACGGTTGCATCGGTAGGGTGGTGCGTCGTTCTACAGGAAGGGCCCACTCAACGTTCGCTCGCGACCCATGGTTTAGGACAGGGTTTCCTAATTTTTTTTTGCCAAGGAACCCTAATTGATTATACTTTTCCTAGCGGAACCCCTGTACTACTCCGCCCGCACGCCCTGCCCCTCCCTTGTGCGTAAACAAGTCGGTGCGAGCGAATAAAGACGGTCACGAAACGTGGGATAATATTTTTTACGGAACCCTTGCGGCCTTTCCACGGAACCCCATTCGGGAACCGCTGCTATAGAGGGTTTTTTTTTTAAAGATTATTAGTAATTTGTTATTACACAAATTACTAATACTCCCGTTAGCCCCTCGTACTAAGCTAAATGCTTGTGTCACGAGTGAGCTCACCACAATAGTCGAGCGGCGGCGGGGACCGAACCCGCGTTCCCCGGATCACGAGTCTGCCAGTCCGACCCCTTCACCGTTCGGCTATCGTGGTTAATCGTTAATGATCTCTCGCTCACATTTGTAATCCCGTGTCGTCAGGTCCAGCGAACGCGGAGAGCGTGGCGAGCGCGGCGAGCGGCGCGGCGGCGGCGGCGAGGAGCGGCGCGTGCCGCTGGAGAACGGACGCCCGCACCCGCCGCGCGCGCCGCACCACGCGCCGCACCCGCCGCACCAGCCGCACCCGCCGCGAGCCAATGTGAGTACACTACATACCCAGTGTCTACAGCTGGCCCGCAAGCGCCGCACCAGCTGCACGCGCCGCACCCGCCGCGAGCCAACGTGAGTACATTACCTTCACCTCACTTGCAGGCCTGGGGTGCAGCGAGGGGTCACGCCAATACGCTAAAGAGCCGCGCCCACCACGAGCCAATGTGAGTACACACACACACCATCACCTCACTTGCAGGCCTGGGGCGCAGCGAGGGGACATGCCAATACCACGGAGCGCTAAAGAGCCGCACCCGCCACGAGCCAATGTAAGTACACACCCAGCGTCTACAGCTGGCCCGCACCCGCCGCGCGCGCCGCACCACGCCGCGCCGCGCCGCACCCGCACCCGCACGCGCCGCACCAGCCGCACCCGCCGCGAGCCAACGTGAGTACATTACCTTCACCTGCACTTGCACTTCAGACCCACCATACCCCTGGGAGTAAAGTTGGCAAACGAGGACCGGCGCGGGCGCGGCGGGTGGGGCCGGGACGCACAGTGCACAGTGTTGTGGAATACCTCTATGAATTCTAAATTGATTTCATTGAACATGCAATAAAATTTATATCCTTAAAAATAACCCGCCGCGCGCCAACGTGAGTATACTATACTCGGTGGAATCTTGTAATGCCACCTGGAGGGAAAGTACTCCTAATACTGTAGATATAGTCTGGTCTGTGAGCACGTAGAATTTTGTCCAATGACCCCACGCTACCCATCCTTATCGCTCGCGCGAAATTATGTTGCTGTCGCGCTCGCACACTCACTGCGGCCGTCCGTCGCACAGTCACGACAGCAATATAATTACGCGCGAGCGAAGGATAGCTTGGGATCATTGGACGAAATTCTATCTGCTCGGCGACCGGACTTTAGATACACCTCCACACTACCACATCACACCACATCCTATTACCACCTAGAACCCTCGCTGACCTCGCCGTACGAAGGTGCGGCTATACATAACCACCGTCCACTCTTGCTAGCCAGCTCTTTTGAAGTCTGGAGACGTGATTCGGAGAGCTCACGACTCGCCTGGGCTCGAGTATACCGAGCTTACAGAGTCCTGCTAATCCGCCTCGACGTTTCAAAAATAAAACAAGACTCCTCGAGATTTATAACTTGCGGATGAGCACGGAAACAGTTGTAACTGCTCGAGCGGTTCCGTGTTAACATTGTACGTAGTGTACTGCAGTTTGCTATGCAGTCGCAGCTTGAAGCTGTCGGATAGGTACTAGCTGCTTCAAGCTGTTCGTGTATGGCCGGCCTTAGAGCATTTGACGATTTGTACCTAAGTACTTTTAAATTGAATTGCACAAAAATAATTTTGAAGCAGTGGCAGTTAAAGCAATATTGAGACGCATAAAAAAAGCTTTATTTTTATACCTTTACCTACTTGCAAAAATAAGTGAATTATATTCGTATCGCAAGATGTAAAGCAAATAAATTATCAATTATTTTTTATGACAATAAATATGAGCAATATTTAACAACGAATCTTCCTTCTCCACAGAGCGGGCGGCGGCGCGAGGAGCGGCGAAGGCAGACCGACGACGAGAGCTCAGTACTAGACAGCCAGGACGTGTCCAGCGCCGACAGAGGTACGCTTGTAGCCCGCCTTATGCCTGCTCGCCTGTGTAGCCCACACCTTCCGACGGTCGCATGCTAAACTTCTAAGATTAGTCCCTTTTGTAAAAGCTTTATTAACGTTCCTAGAAAACTATTCAAAATCAGTAGATTGTGTCATCAAGACAGTGAAATTGTTTTTAACAATTTGAGAAACATAAGATTTGATTGTACAGTCAGCGTTAGTTTTTTTTTTTTTTTTTTNTGTGATTGGAGGCAAACGAGCAGACCTCTTCGGGTGTTACGAACTGTTTGAAGCTGACTATACCTAAAAAGGTAGACATTTTTTCATGCGAATAAAATTGCTTGATATGCTGTTAGAGGAAATGATCCATGAATGTTTCTTTATATCTCTATTTTTAAAAGTCCTTAATCTTATTGAACAAATTCTATGCAGTTTTTAATCTTCCTCTTATTAGTGATTAAACCTTTGAAAGTTTTAGGGCTTAGCAGATCAGATCGGAATGTGTGGGCTGCATTTTTTTTTATCATTTCTATATTATTAATTATGTGCACTCTGAATATTTAAAATTTGGCAATTGATTACCTAGCTTTAGATATTTTTTATACTATAAAATAGTTACTTAATTTATTCCTTGCGTAACTAAAAACTGACTGATATATTTGAGTTAACGTAAAATAAATCTAGGATTCATTTTTAAAAACAACAAATTGCGTGATTCAAAATCTGAAAATATTACTGAATGTGCTAGTTAAAATGTAGTGTGTAGTGCTCTTGGATTATTTTATAAGTGGTATATTATTATATGCATCGTACTCGTATATTGTGTTTGTTTTGTGCTCTCGTTTTCTTACATTTTAATTAGTACATTAAGCCGTAGCCGGACGAATGGGATGTTTCTATTTTTCTACTTTTTCATAAACTAGATGTGGTGATTAGTCGTTTGCTATTACATAATTTGGAACTGGCTTTTTACTTCCTGGGCGACGATAATTATCTTAATCTTCCGATTTACTCTGAAACTAATTTCGGTGGTGGCTTTACTACGATAAGCGTAACTGTAAAGCGATTGACGTACCTAGCTTAATTTTTAAAACAATAATTCGAGTCAGTGAATTGGCACAAAAAGTGTTATCAATTTTTGTAGATTCTAATTGGTAATTTGTTATTATTTGTTTTATTTAGACCAAATATTTTATCAATTTGTTTCATTGTTAATAGACACGATTTACGATTACAATGTTGTAGATTATTAGATTAGAAAAGATTAGTAATAATTATTTAATAGTTCAATATTGCTAAGGTATAACTTTCTTGTCTTTCCTTCTGTCTACTGTGTAGATTTTTATTTATTTTGAAAAATATAAGAAGTTGGATCATTTAAGAATATTTATAGCAAAATAGAAGGTGATCCACAGTGGTTCCTCACGTATCTAAGTGACAATCCTGACTCGAATCGCTAACAACTAAAATAATATAGCCTATAAGCCACTCGCTCAAACGTTAAATGTGTCCTATCCCGTACAAAATTGTACCTACCGTTTCGAATTGTACCTATTCATGCTCGCCGCCGCGCCGCGCAGTGACTTACTGGATGGCTTGTATTTTATTTGCACCTACCTACTTTATAAAAATATAAAATCACTTATAATAGAACTGCTCTACGCTAAATCGTTTTTGTATTGTTTATTATTATTAAGACATATTAATGTTTCTCTGTAAGTGATTGCATTGTAATCTTTTTGAGAAATAAATATCTTTAACCATAATACGCTTCGGGTGTAGACAATAGCTGTAAGTTCCAGTCCAGTAGTAGCGAACGGTTAGTCCCCAGGGTAGCGACTAGTGTAGTTACTAGCGGGGTAGCGGGTGCGGCATGCATGTGTGTTGTCGCCGCAGAGTCCGCGACGTCCGAGGAGGGCCGCGGCGCCGGGGAGGCGGCCGGGCGCCGCCGCCGCCGGAGGAAGCAAGGTGAGCCCGCGCCGGCGCGCCGGGGTTACGACAAGGTCAAGCCTTGTTCGCGCTAGTCGAGTCATTTAAAGATTTATGCTTCAACCACACCAACGCGTGCAGTGTGCTTACCATGAGTTTACGTTAAGTCTGCTCGCTAGCGAGTACGTCAAAAAACTATGAAGATTTGATTTCTTGAAAGTAGCCGGTAGGGGTGCTGACTACACCTAACTTAAACTCATAGTAAGCACACAGATCGCCATCGCCGGCGCGATCAAAGGCCAATGACAGGTCGCGTGAACTGTCATGGGTCGCGCGGCCTGTCATTGGCCTTTGATCGCGCCGGCGATGGCGATCTGCACGCGTTGGTGTTTGAAGCTTTAGTCGAGTACGATACTAAATCGTTTAGTCGAGCCAATCCATTTTGTTCTATTTTGACAGGCGAGTAGCCCTTCACCATGCGTCTATGCTCACTGTATCACCGGCTAATTGAGTCCAAGCTGTACGGTTTAGTAGAGTTCATATAAAAACCACTAATGACTTGTAAACTGTACTCGACCAAAGTCCGAACGGTTGTTTGGCCAGCAAATAGTTTAGTTACTAAAGGCGAGTTACTCTACTAAATAACTCGACTAGTGCGAACAAGGCTTAACATTAGTAAACCAAGATCACTAAGCGGTTCCAACTTCAATTCGTATTTCAAAGTCCGCAGCGTCTGACGAGTTTCGACTCCTGCGCCACGCCGCCGCGACGCATCGCGTGCATAATATCGTAACACGCACTGACACACAACACGCACGCTCCTGAATAACTAACAGGGATAATGACCATCATACCGCCAACATTCGACGTCCATTTTGCACATACTCTCACATTCTTCTACACACACAAAATCTTGCAAGTGTAAACCTACTTGCAAGAATTTGAAGGGATCAGATAGAAGCTATGTAAATATGTGTTGTATCTGTGTTGTTTTATGTATTATTCAACACCATACAAAGTGAATAAACACGTGTTCAATTACGTAGAAATTCATTGTTATTAATAACTTCTCGCGCAATAAAATTCCTCATACAATGTTGAATTCCTCATACAATGAAACATGCGTGGACATTGCTCTAGTGTGCATTCAATGTTTATGCTGCCTGTACTCTGTACACTTAAAATTACAATCACACAAAGTCTGGCATGTTTATTTTCACAAACACGTGTTCTAAATTACACCGTTTCTCAATAGTTCGTCACGGTTGTCGATGACATAATGGGCATGGCAGTCAAAACGAGGGGTCGTAGTTGGCAGGTGGGGACCTGCCAGAACTACAATTTATACATAAACATTTAACTTGATTGTATGTAATTTCTTTATATTCTTTTACCTGATATTGTAACTGTAAACTAGTTTTTACTAGAATGTAGGTAATTTGATTTAAGACTAAAAATAAGTTTTTGCCTCTTATTATTTATGTTTGCCATAGCTTCTACTATTGTTGCATAGTGTTGATGCATGATGTTGTAGCTCTAAGATAACTTTGTAATCGTGTTTCGCATCAATTGCTTTTAGAAATAAAACCGTAGCATCATAATTATTGCATGTTCGTTTCCACATGACGTAAGATTTTCAGATTTGCTCCTAATTGTCTGTAATATTCACTCGTGTGCGCGATTGGATTTCATCGCACTGCGGCTTGAGTTAACACATCATCCGACGGCTTATAAATTAATGTATATGGCGCGAATCAATACGTATCAATCGATCCATTCAAACGCTTTACTTGTGTGTAATGAAACAAATAAGACTTATCGCGTGTAAATTTGCACAATTAAGACGTCGCGTATTCTACGCGCTCCATATATTATTATTGTATGTCTCGGAATAATTCAAAACAAATAACTTTTCGAAAACAGCTGGTAATGAGGTGTCGGCATCTCGCTAACAATAACATCTATTTTCATACAGTTAGTATCGGATATCGTCTATAAGTTTTATAATTGTGAAGCGATTCTATATGTATGGTAATCTGATTTTAGTAATCGTATTTTTATCGGAACAAGTATTTGGAGATTGTTTTAAAATATATTATTTTTTGGATCGGAGTACCTACGCCAAATGTTACTGCAGACAATGAGGGCTATCGTTTTTATACTTAACAGTTGGCACCCCTGGCGATTGACTCTACAGTGGCGCCATCTTGATGAGTGCAAATGCGATAGTCCTCCTACCACTTTAGCGCCACTGTAGAGTAAGGTCCTGTCACTTGCTAGTAGCGAAGACAGTGGCGCCAACTTGTGAGCGCTAAAACGATAGCCCTCATTAAGTGATATCGTAAATTTCCAGGAGGCGGATGGAAGAACGGAGTGAGCGGTTCCGGCTCAGGCCCGGGCGGCGAGGGCGCGGGCGCGGCGCCGGCGGCGGCGGCGGGGACGGCTGGCGCGGCGGCGGCGGGCGCGGACAAGCGGCCGGGCAAGGGGCGCCGCGAGCCGCCCAAGGCCAAGGCCGAGCTGCTGAACGGCACGGCGTAGGGCGCGCGGCGCCCGGTTGGTCCCGGGCGGGCCCGGAGCCCCGGCAGCGCAGGGCGCCGCCCCGCGCGCCCCGTGACGGTTGATGGCATTTATTGACTCTTCTGTTTGATCACTCGTGTCTGACTCGCTCGGCCGCGCCGGCCCGGCCCGGCCCGCCGCCCGGCCCGGCCCGCCGCCAGGCCCGGCCCCGGAGCCGCGGCGGGCCGCTCGTCCCTAGACTCACTTGTATTATGCTTTTGTAAGAGATTCGTGATTTGTATTCCTGATTATTCGTAATATGAAAAATTAAACATGTGTACGTCGCTCCCCGGACGATGCGAGCCGCGATCGGCTTTTCGGTACCTTTATGGGAGATCGGACATAGCGCAGTACATACGTGTGTCGTAGCCTGTACTCTGTGGTTATGTGATTTCCTATAAAATAAACATTTCTGTACATATTTTCAATCGTATTTTTATTTATGAACGTTCGTAGACCGAGCCGCGGGGCGCTGGCCCGGCGACGGCGATTCGTTACAGCGATACTTTACAAAAATACTTAACACTAGCGGGATGTTACGATCGACTATCGACATCGATATACTACATTGGAAGATTCCACAGGATCCGTGAGGGGGATATTACGGGGCACATACATTTTTGTGACAGTTTTATTATAACTCTACGCTCGACTTTACGACGCTATTGACTTATTGTTACTTTATTTACAACTAATACTATGATTTCAGTCGTAATAATAGTACCGTGATATGCATTATTGCCGGGATATCACTAAGAAATGTATAGTATTTACAAAGAGATATGCTTTCGAATTTCAATGTTTACATAGCTTTTTTTCTTTTCATTAAAAATATACAATCATTTTATTTGTAATAAATGATATGTCTACTTGTACACGATTCTTCAGACGTATTCGAAAATAAACTTAGAAATTACAATAGCATAATAATTATAGTATGTATTTATAGAGCTCATGTTTATCGTCTTAGTACCAAAATGTAAACCTGCGTATTCGTTTAGTTAACAATTTTGACTCGTCGATTATGGAAAATACTTAAAAAATATCAAATTGGAATTAGTCCCACTAGTGACGGGACGTGTCCCGCAGCGGCTGCGCGGCGCGTCCCGCGGTGGGCACATGGCCTAGTCACGAGGGTTATCGCAACCTCTTGTATGCGGACGTGATCCGAGATGCTATGTGACCTATGGCGTTCTCGATTGTCAAATAATAACATTTCTAGGCTATAATTTTTGTATTGTATATACGTCACTTAAATCGACATTAGATTTAGGCTTTACGTTAAAGTCAATAAAAGCTTTATTTTATACACTTGGTGTTTTGATTATGTTCACCCAAATCATCAAGTCTTAAGTCCTGAATGCATCACACGAGGGGAAAGCATGGCTTATGCTTTCCTCTCGGTGGTTTTATTATTATTTTGTAAGTTTAGCAATACGAAATATGACGTGCCACCATACATTTATCATTGTATTCACGCAATTCAAAAACAACCGCATACAAGAGGTTATCATAATCTTATTTAAAATCCCTTTTAAAGTACTTCTCTCCACCATATCTTTTAATCAATCGGAATGGTAATACTTAAGCGTTTTCTCAGTTTTGTTACATTCGCATGTTCAACAGCGTGACTTAACGGTAAAAGTTTTCGTATCAACGAGACCACGGAAGAAAATTCGTGTTCTCAAGAGCATGTTGCTCCCTTTCAGTGACACTGTTACACATATGGGTCAGCGAGTGTGACAAAACCGGAAACACCAATCAATTTACACATCAAATGAACCTAAATAGCAATGTAAATTAGTACATAAAAACTAGATCACAAGTCTATGGGAATAATTTAAGACAAATCAAAGTTTTCTGGATTGCACGTTTTTGGAGAGGTATGGATTTATTTTGTAATATTTTGCTACATTTTGTAATAAAACATACATACTCAAATTATTTTTTTCTTTGATTGGGCTTCCAGATTTAACGATGGGATTATTTAGGCCTTGTAATAATGTACAGTCAACAGCAAAAGTGATATTGAAAAAGGTCCTATATTACGAAAGATATCTACTTTAACTGCAAACTGCACCTCATTCTGCCTTAATTAAATTAATAATATTATATAAAATGTTATACGAGGTTCATTTTGGGAGTAAAACGATACGCTGCGGACCCTGTTCGCGAGTTCGTTGGAATAATCCACGCTAAGCGGGATGGTCCCTCCAATACAAATGGAAAAATGAAATGTTTACTAAATCTGAATCTTATGCAGACTCCTTTCATGGCGCTAAGCTATATAGGACTATTAATATTTCATTTAACATTAACGTAATAGGCAATAGATAAGACACTCCCAGAATTAGGTGATAAAATACCGCAACGATTAATACTTATTTTAGGAATCTAAAAAAAAACTGAAGGTATTTATTAGTGGACAACATTTTTTGCAGTGTTGGCAAAAATGTGCGACTTTTCGCTTAGAAACAGTACCTAACAAAATATTATGTTTCAAAATATGCAGAGAAAACCATTTTGACATATAAGTAGGTACCTCTATATTAAACTGACTTAGTACCTATTGCCACTTTATGTTAAATCAAATACAAACATATCCTCAAAGTTGCACCAGCTTACTTTTACTGTAACTATTATAGTATATTAACTGCCTTAACCGGTGTTTTTTGTATAGAGTTTGACAGATTTTTGACATTTGTTAAAGTAAGATGGCGCAACTCAGCCTAAGACTGATTCTGATTTGGTTCGTGGATAGTGAAATATGCCATTTATCCTCAAAGTACAGACTGGTAAATGGTAAACATTTGAAGGGCTAGTTCCTTATCGACGTATCCGTATTTTCGGTTTATCTGTTTCTATCGCTTGCTATGAGAGGGATGGATATTTTTCGTTAAGTATTTCAATTTATATTTATCTGACGTGTTGTGCCGCATCAGTACGGAATCGCTTTGACTCATGCGACACGACCCGTCTGATAAATGGACCCATTTATGCAAACAAGAACCAACCCACAGCAGGGTGGTTTCGAGAAAACGAGACTTTTGTAAACAGATGTTGCAAAATGCGTACATAATATATTAATGAATGATTACTTGTTAATCTTATGTGGGATACTGCAGCCTATCTAGGAATATCAGATTTATAAATTTTATAAGTTATAATATAAAGTAAATCGTAAAAAACCGGTTGGTTCTTTCTTGCAAAAACATTTTTTGTTGCTTAGTTCCTTCTTGCAAAATGGATGTAAGATTTCATTGTTGTGATATATCTAAAATTAAAAGTCATTCTATATAAAATATAGATTTTAATGCCTTTTATTAGATAGTGAATTGGAATCACGAACCCTTCAAACTAAAATCACTATTATTATCGTCTTCTACCTCAAAATCGATTGGCCCGGTAATACTGTCGATATGGTCTTCTATCTTGCTGCTTTTCAGGGTTTTGTAGAAATTGTGTGTGTCGTTTTGGTATTAGATGCAGAATACTTTTAATATTCTGTTAGTTTAGCCTCAGATATAGCTTTTCCTGTAAGCTAAAGTAAGTCCATGTCATTTTTTGTCATCACGGCCTTGCTTCTGATATTTTTCTGTATATTAACTTCTTTGTGCCGTGTGGGAACGGCCATAAAGAATAAGTACTCTTCCCTACCAGGAACAGCGTGTCATGAATGGCGTGTCGTAAGAGGCGACAAAAACTCCTGCAGCACCGGACGCTTAAACTCCAACTTAATCACCTCAAAATTGGTAGAAAACTGCATGAGTCAACTGAATACCCTAGGAAAACGTAACAGAGTAACGCTGAGATGGGTTCCAGGTCACGCGGGAATCGTGGACATGAAAATGCCGACGAACTGGCCAGAGCGGGAGCGGAGGGAACACAATATGGTCCAGAACCCGTTTGTGGCATTCCCAAAAGTCTCGCTCAAATGACCCTGGAGAACATATTATCTAAACAAATCCTTTAAGGCATGGTCAGACACGCTAGGATTAACTCATTCCAAAGCTCTTATAAAAGCCTATGATCGAAAATGCTTTAAGCAGATCATAGGACTGAGTAGGATCAAAATGCGCATCTTAGTTCGAGCCTTCACTGGACACAGCAGCTTAAACAAGCACTTGTCCACTATGGGACTGTCCGAATCAAGAACGTGCAGGATGTGCCAAGAGGCAGATGAAACGCCACTACACATTCTCACGGACTGCGGACCTTTGATGCGCAAGCGGAGCTTACACCTGGGCAAACACATCCTAAGCCCACAAGATGTAAAACATATCGCCCCCCAAAAGATACTGCAATTCCTAATGGATGCAGGACTCGGAGGCGAACTGTAAGGAAAATAGCGGCGATCACTATATATCGGTACCTGTCGCAGTGATACTGGGACTTTATTAAACTAGAATAGCCGCTCAACTCAATAAAAAAATAGTTCTTCTGCGTTTGAAACACAAATTAGTACAGTATAGGAGAGGAATAAATTTCAAATAGTTTGTACAGTATCAATATCGGCGCGCCGACAGCTGGTCGTCGGCGGCGGCGGCGCGAAAAAATTCGCGGCGGCGGCGGCGCGCCGGCGTGGCGCCCACCTCTATTCTACGGTAAAAAGTTGTGAGATCCATGTAATACCAAGTCCAGGCCAGGAAATCTTTAACGTTTTACATAAATATATTGACTTGGCCATCGCATGAAAACACGTGTAAATTAAATTATTTAGTGCGATGGCCAAGTCAATATATTTATGTAAAACGTTAAAGATTTCCTGGCCTGGACTTGGTATTACATGGATCTCACAACTTTTTACCGTAGAACAACTGAGTTGCGAGACTTGGTTTTTTTGACAAGTATTGTTTTTGATGGGATGTTTGTTTACAAATAGCATTTGCGAACCAAAAAAAATTTATAAGTTTATAGGTATAACTTGATTATACTTTTATCAGTCATATTGAATACCATTTTTTTATGTCTACATAGTCTAAGATCCCGCTATACAACGACCTTCACCGAGATGCTTATTTGATGAAACATATTTTATATNGTTTGATATCTGTTTATTGTTATGATTCTATTGCTATTTATTAGTGTCCGACCGAAACTAGTTTTACGACCGAAACCGAAAACGAATTTCGGCAACGGTGTCTATTTCGGCCGAAACCGAAACCGAAACTTCCTTACAAGGCTCATATTTTAAGGAAAAAATAAAGAAAACGTTATTATAATCAGTCAGTCTTTATTGTTTTCTCTTTAAATTGCATGAAAATTGAACTTATAAAGTGCCTTTTTACTCTAATTATGTATCAAATTATGTATTAAAAAAGAAAAAGAAGGATTTATAGTCTAGTTTTTTTTTTAATTACTCGCAATATTCAGGACATCTACATAACCCGTCCCATGGTCGGGTCTTTTACCTTAATAATTTCTCAAAACAAAATTGGTAGGACGTAAGTTAGTACCTATCTTATGTACTTGCCACTTGGATACCTTGGTGATAAATACTAAAATGAACTTTGAAACTCTGAATCCGTAATATTATCACCATGAAATGCACTATAGTCATTATTAACTACTTAACTAATCTGGGGGCACGGCAGTGCCCCCACCAAGTCGAGCAAAAAAGCGGCACGGCCGTACCATCCTTTTCTCGAAGCAATTCAGGCCATTTTCGACCGCCTGTAACTTCGTTGTGGATAAAACTAGANGGGTCCAAATATAAATCCGCGTATATGCGGTTACGTCGTTAGGGAACCCTCGCTGAATATAGCGACAGCATCCAATAAAGTTATATTCGTGACAGTTTAAAATCCGAAATCGCTTTACGGAGCTGAGTGATTAAGTACATACAAAAGAACGTAAAGTTTCGGAATTACAGCTGTCACGTTTGTAACTGGGGGTGCACTGGGCATAATAAAAATAAATCGACGTTACTAATTGTCAAAATCGCAGAGTCCTCAGAGGCCTTAGTGTGAGTTTACATCAAACGTCCTTACCAGTAAGCGCGTTAAAAAATGAAAATTTTAGTTCTTGAAAGTTTCCGCTAGGGGCGCTGTACAATCCGTCATACATTTAATGACATTTTTTACGCGCTCACTAGTGACGACGTTTGATGTAAACACACAGCCCTCTGGGCATAAAAAATATTTTGACCGACGTTGTTAAAATTCAAAATCGCAAACAGAGTCCAGTAGGCCTAAGATGCGCGCCGTGATAAATTTTATCGACGTCAAAATGTATGGGTAAAATCGATAAAATGGCGTGATAACCGCTTATCGCGGCGCGCATCTTAGGTCTACAGCTCGCTCTACAAAGACATTAAACGAAGGTGCCCAGCTTAGCGGGCTTGTCCCCGGCAACAATGAGGTGGTGGCATTAGAGCAGGCGGTGCCGATCGTGCGCTTCGGGCTCGGACTCCGAGTCGGACGGCGAGCAGCACGACGAGTCCGACCAGTGCTGGAACTCCTCCTTGTGGTGCTCTAGGGCCATCAGCGACGGGAACAGGCTGTCGCACGCGCTGCAGCTGGAAACGACGATAAATAACTTGAGAACTAAATTTTCTTACTTTCATACACTAAAGCAGGGTTGCATCCACAGATATATCCATATCTTATTTTAACTTTGACAAATGTAAACTTCGACGAAGATAATCAATTGTTATGACATTAATTAATGCCGTCTGGGACTCAAGCGGTTAAGGCAGGTTATTTGATCACAATCGCTTAATTGTCAAAGTTAAAGTAAGATGGTGCAACCCAGCCTAAGTTTTTTATTTACTTTCATACTTATTAGAAGGTTGAGCAAAGAAAATTAAGAAAGACAAAGGAAATTGGATAATTTACAAATACTTAACATACTATTTTAACTTCATATTTTGGATGAATGTGAATGAAGCAGACATAAAAAGGACTTATTTGAAAACGCTTTTCACGCGTTACGATGTCACGCGTTCAGATAGTTATAAATTCGTATTATAAAAGAGTACCTATATATCTTTTGGACACTACATTGCGCCATCTAGAACATCTGATACACAGACATAAAAAAAACAGATCAATACAAAATGATTGTCATGCACACATTTTATGGAAGTTGGTTTCACCTAGTATGTTCTTGAATAAAGTGAAACTCGCAGGAATTATGATGGAATTCCGGTCACGCACATTACGTGAATGTACGCAAAGTTGTAACAACATTTGCGAATTCACAAATCAGATTAATAGTTTCAGAGATGCTTGATTAATCTTCCCTTGTGCCGGAGTTACACTGCGCGAAATTGATCAAACTACATATTATAGTGTAAACACGCACGGAAATAGGGCGAAACGAAATTAAGTGTGCGTTGTGCTGTTTCGATCAATTTCGCGCAGTTTAACGGTGGCATTGCACATTAAGGGTACATAAACCACAAACTATTTGTCAACTCACCCGAAGTGCCTCTTCTTCTGTTGGTGGTCGGCCAGCTGGCGGCGCGTGGGGAACGAACGGTCGCACACGTTGCACGTTAGCGCCTCGTCTGGAACACGTTAGTAACGTCTCAGTTATTGGCATTCTTTGGTTGCAATAAAAAAATAATGTTACGGATTTAAAGAGTAAAGCAAAACTGGGTCAATGATTAAAATCAGGGTAGGATAAGATGATAATGACGACACACATGGAATACATGGTGTAGTATGGGAACTATGAATGTGTTGCTTTGATGATATTAAAATGGCACTTATGACTTGTCATTGCATCATTAGATTTGTTGGTAGATACAAAAATATAATTACCTTTTTTCCTTGAATGTTTTTCTGATAATGAAAGTAATAATCTAGCAGTGTATACCTTAACTATAAACAATTTCAATGTATCTTATCAATTTCAATATATTATCCGATTTGAAATATTTAAAATAATAAATAATTTTGTCAAATTATTTTATTAAACTTAACTTTAATTAATGTAGATATGTATATACAAAAATTGTGCTATCAGTGTATCACCTCAACTCAACACACATTTAATCATAAACCCTTTAAAATTAATTGAAGCATTTTCAATATTTACCTCATAAATTTTGTTCTCACTTTTATAAAAATAATAATTACTGATTACACCATTCTCTTGTAATTAAAAATAGATTATAAACTGGCAATATTTATGTTTTTAATAATATTATTATACCTGATTTTGTTAATCAGTCTTATTCAATCTAAAATGTATCCCTCAAAAAGTAGAAAGAACCCAACCATAAGATTCTAATAGTTGCACTGTTCACTGTCATAAAATCCAAATAAATGCAAAAATCCATCCACATGTGTGTTAAATAGGCAAGGTGTTAGAAACCGATGACTTAAACATGTTTCCGAAGAATCTTGCTCCTGTAGATCCTCCAGGAATCGATGCCGTCATCATCCAGAACAGGGAGATTACTTGCGCCACCGCACATACCACAGTGAGCGGGGTGCTTCTCAGGGAGAGCGCACAGTACAGAGTGGCCACCATTGTGATGACGTATAGTGATGTAGTCAGGGCTCGCTCCTTAGAGAATAACGATTTCATATGAGCCCATGGTCCATACAGAAAACTAAAGCTGGAATTAGAAATAAATCACCAAATTAAGTGCTACAAATAACACTGATAGCAAAAATAAGAGTATCAATATTAATACAATAAAGTTGCTTACCTAAGTAGGAAGAATAAGCTGCCTAGAGTAAAGAGCAGCACAAACTTTTTTGCTTGCAGCAGTAGCACCGGAATGTATATGAATGACAATATAAAGCAAAGTATTCCCAATCCAAGGCAAACGCCAAAGCACATAAACCGTTGTGTTCGGCTCTGGAAAAAATAAGAGCATTGTTACATACCTAGTACCTTTACTAGGTCATCACATGACTCATTATGATAAAACAATTTTAAACATCATAAAAGTGACAACGAAACTATAATGTGATAAACTTACCAGGGTAAAATAGTCATTTTGCACTCTTTGAAACCATGTCGAGCTCTCACTGACTGTGGGGCTACTATCTTCGGAACTTCTTGAAAGAAAACTGGGTGTCGAAAAACTTGGAAGAGTGAAGTACCCTCGACGACTTTCTTTTTGAAGCATGTACTCATCTAACTCGGATTTCAAGTTAGCCATGTTTAATTACCGAAACTGAACTACCTTTTGTCGTCTAAAGATAGATTTCGCTAAATAAATTGAGTAAAAACACAAAACGGGTGGCGAACAAAATTATTTTTACACTTGTCAATGTTTTGTTGACACAAGTGATGACAGATGTCAAAATTGAAGCCATAAACAAAAGTCTTTAATTTTTCAACATCCTACGCAGAAACGAGACAAACGCTTTTCGCCACATAGTGATGCGCATGTGTAAGACAAACCGGTTTATCGATTAGTCTGTAGTCTAGTAATTTTAGCAGAATGTTGTAACTTCAATTTAAGGGAGATTTATATTTTTCCGTAAAAAATAACTGAAATTATAAATTCTCACCGTAATCTGTATCATCACTGAAGTCATCATGTGCATGCCGACGAATGTTGTTGTTGTATCGGTCATGCGCACAAGGCGGGCAAACGCCGCGCGTGTCCCTCTCGTCCAAATCGGTGCTGCTCGCATCCGATTCCACCTCGGCTTCTTCAATGTGAATGTCATCTGGCTGTCGGTTGTCAAGTTTTTCATTTGATGAAAGTTGATTGTAGTTTTTCCGTGGAGGTCGCGACTCTGTAAACAAAACATTTTGTTATAAGAACTCGGTAGGTAGAAGTTAACTTTAAAGAAAGTGCTTAGAAATAGGCAAGAAAGTATACAAACAAAAGTTTTACGCAATCAACTGTAAATCAGCTGGTACCTAATGAAATGCCTTGATAGTGCTATTTATGTTTCTTATCTAATAAAAATAAATTTTTACTTAGGTAAGGGTAAGGGTTTTATTATCTAACTAATACATGCATGGTTCGCTTGCCAAAAAGGGCGCCTAGTATAAAAATAAAAAGTGGATTTTCTGTATTTTAGGGTCAGAAGTTCGCTAGATACCTACTTATTATGACACAATCGGTAGATAGCCGGTATTTTTGTTACTATCCGTCTCATCTCCAACACAACAAACAAGTTGTACACTGTATAGGTCAACTTTTGATAAAAGTGCTTCAACATTGATACAGCAATAATGTTTTGCTATTTTTAGATAATTGTTATAGTGGATTGGTATCAAAGTATTACTTTAAGCGTTGTGACTCTCTAAGTAGGTACGTCGTTTTAATTTTATTGTTGTATTTTTTCTAGTGTGTCTGTTTAAGGTATGGTCCTATCATATGTATGTACATGTTAACTAATAATTAAATTGGACTCTCTTCCCAGATAAAAATGGATAAATCGTCGCCAAAAATTGCCATAGTGGGGGCTGGCATCATAGGGATGACCGTAGCTAAAATATTGCAAGAGAACCTTGGCAAAGCGCAGATTTCTGTGATAGCAAATAAGTTCCACGAAGACACGGTCAGCTACGTTGCCGCGGGCATCTTTCGCCCCGGAACCAGCTTCAAGGGGCCTACTAAAGAAATTACCAAGAAATGGATAGTCGACTCATGGAACTACTGGCAGGACATCCTCAAAACATCAGAAGCGCCCGATGCCGGCATCATGTCATTCGATAGTTACATATTCTCTAGTGATAATTATCACGTCACAAGGAATCACTTGATTGAGGACCTCGTACCAATTTATAGACCTGTAGAAGAGGAGGAATTGAAACTCGTAGCTGGGGACTGGAAGTACGGCTCGTATTTTTCAACGCTGAAAATAGGATCGGAAAGGCACATACCGTGGATCGAAAAGAGGTTTACCCAAAACGGCGGGAAAATTTTGCAACGAAAAGTCGATAGTTTCGCATCACTATCGGATTACGATTTGGTTTTCAATTGCGCGGGTTTGGGCGCGAAATATTTGTGCGAGGATTACGATTTGGTGCCGATTCGCGGGCAGGTGATAAAGGCTCGGGCGCCATGGTTGCGGTGTGCGTTTTACGGGGACTACGATACGTATATCGTGCCGGGGTTGGACGGGGTGGCGACTCTGGGTGGGGTGCGGCAGTACGACAGTTATAATTTGGGGGTGTGTAAGTACGACACGGCGGCGATCATGGAGCGTTGTTGCGGGTTGCTGCCGGCGTTAAAGAAGGCTGAGGTGGTGGACGTGAGGGTGGGTTTGCGACCGCACCGGGTGCCGACGCGGGTGGAGGCTGAAGCAGACGGGGGCCGGCTGGTGCACTGCTACGGGCACGGCGGCTATGGGGTGATGTGCGCGCCAGGTACGGCCCTGCACGCTGTGCGCATAGGTCTCGATTTGCTGAGGGGCAAACCGGTGAGCAAGTTATAAGAGATTAGTCTGCGACCAATATTAATATTACAGTGCCAAAATTTATGAATCTGACATTCTCATTTTAAAAATTGCACCCAAAGTCCTTGCAAGGGAATTTACCGCATAATCAGCCAATTTATCAGTTTGGGCATGAATAATTTTACAGAAAGCTTTTTAATGGTAACTTACAATATTAGCCAATTTAGATCGCTCTGTCTCTGTCATGTAGAGCTAAAATAATCCTACGTTGTATAGCATTTAGTTTCTAGACCTTTACCTGGATTACCTAATATTACCTACTAATTCAATCAAATTGCTACGAATTAATTATTAACTCAAGCAAGTATAATTAATCTTGCATGGATATTCAATCCGATAATTACGTACACCTATCTCTGATGAGTCTTAATTATGGATATGAAATTAATATTGTAATGAATATTATTGTGATGACCCAGTTCCGAATTTGCTTTATGTATGAAGTCGGTTAAAATATACTTATTATAAAGGTTTAATATAACCTACCTACTTTATCGAACTTTAACGGAAAGCCATATCAACCGATGTGGTTTCTCCGTTTGACTTTTACTTTTATACAGTGGCCTTTCAGATTCCTCAATCTTCAAAGGACAATCTTTGCCATTTCACTTTATCGAAGTTTTTAGTTAAACTGGCCGGTGCTGTGCAGGCGAGTTCACAAAGAACTCGTATATCTGCATCATTTCCCGCGGTCGTAAAAGCTAAAAGCTTTTGCGGTGCAGTATTGGCTATCAAGGGCATAACGCAGATCGGAACTCCAGCTATTCGCTCCGACGTATACGTACTTAGTTGACTGGAAAATTCACTTCTAACGTTTTCTTCCAAGAAAGTTGGTCTGCACTTTCAACGATGCATATCATATTTTGCTGAAACAACCTAACAATCGATGTCGATGTATAATGTCGAAGTTAAATTGATAACAAAATGTTTAGCTCTATGTGCCGTCGTCTGTAACGTAATGTTACATTAATACAATTACTGTTTAGTGAAAATCTACATAATTAAACCTGTTATTATTATATAGTAAGTAATTAATCATGAACAAAAATTATGTCAATAAAATTATTGTGATGAAGAAAGTTGTTTATTTTTCATACCTGAAAGATGAATATTGATGACAAGAACTTAAATAGTACCTAAACAGAAGATATTAATTCGGTGTGTTGATTTTTCTATTGCTTAGAGCAAGTGCACTCCAAGTTCCCAAGTGTTCTAGCAGGAAAATTAAAAAGTATCAGATACAGCACTAAAAGATATCGAGCAAAATGCATTGCGGACTCGGTGCAATCCTTGCTTGCACCTGACGTTATGTACCTATTTGCGGCGAACACAATAATGTAGCGCTGTTTGTATAAATTTTTTATTCACTTGTAGTGCACTTTCTTGTAGTGTTGGTATGAGAATTGTTAGGTTTGTTCAGGAAAGATTTTCCTTGAAGTGGGTACCTTATACATGAAGTTTATTGTTAGTTCTAGCAGTTCTAGTAACTTGTAGAGTTATTTACTATGAAGGCCTAATGGATGCTCTACTTCACGTTCCTTTACCTTTTATAATATCAATATGAGATATCTACTTGGCTAAATTTGAGATAACTTTGGTTCAGCAGTACACGTCTTGTGGTTGTGTATTGATGATGCGGGCTAGTGCACTGTATGCCTTACGCTGTTCTTTATGCTAGACTTTTGAATCACTGAAACATACTTCCTTATCAAAAAAAAAATATTAATTGCCGTTTAGTTTAATAAATTACCAGCGTAAAGAGACTTGGTAGTCCCATAATCTGCAAAAAATATGATTCCATATCTATAACAGTTTTACTCAATCTTCAGCCCACGGTTATGGATGGGACTCTCTGTATAGACCGGTTGATTCTTGGAAGAAGCGGTATTTATGTACGGTCGGCAGCGCAAGAAACGTCGCTTAGTTACTGCTCCTGACACTGACACATGTCGTCGTCACGCCTAACGGCTGCGTCTTGATATACTAACCGTACTTTTTGCCCCAAGACAAAGTGATCGCGATGGTTTTACTACGATCTCCGACGAAGAAAAATCGCAAGAGACAAATGGGACACGAGTCTTCCTTTGTCGCGATACGCTGGTTTTAGTTCTTTGAATGATTTGTATAATGTAATGACTGCTTGTTTGTTGTTAAAAAGTAAGACGACCTGAATCTTATAAGGAATAGTAGTCTAACAAATTCTCTTTATAAATTACTTACATTTCATAAGTGAATTTGTTAAACATGGCTCATGGTTAAATTACAAAAAAAAGTAATAATAACCACATTTAAACGGTCTAGCCATTAAGAAGCTAAGTAGGTAAGACTCTACCACAAAATTCTGTGCGCTCCAGCGGCAGTATAAACGTAAATAAACTCTCTCAATTTACGTGGGAGATAAAGATGCGGAAGCGGAGCTAAATTAAAAGATGCATAAGCAAAATTTATTTCGTCATTTTGAGGGTAGTTTCGTTTAATTTCAGTCACGCGTGCTGATAACCAGCGGCCAGACGGTAATTATGTTTTAATTATGATTTACATCAACTGTGGGTACCGGCGTGTGCCCCATTAGGTATAACCTTGTATTGATTAAACAATTAGACGCAATTTATCGTTCAAATTTTAGATTACGGACAGGGGAACGAGGAAATTAAATTATCTCATGAATTTAGAATTTCATGATATTATCATCATATCGGAATTCCACAGCTGGGCCGAAACGGCCGACAAAAGTCAATATATTTTCTTAATATTAACAGCGATACCATGTTAAGGTTGCATGAGTGGGGGAGATGGTACCTTTTCTTGCACGAATAAACTTGGATTTATAAGTAGGTTTCCTTTTTTAAGACAAATTAAAGCAACAAATTAGGCAAGAAGAGATTAAACATCAAGATTTCAAGGTAGGTAGTAAAACCTTAGTCCTATTAAGTAAATGTTGTTCAAGATCACTTTATCTCAAGTAAAATTATGTCTTTACCAACACAGGCGAAGGTTTGGAATAAAAAGCCATTAATAAATCGGCGGGTAATTGGCGATACCCTTGGAGCCAAACAACAGGACACCCAACAATATCAAAGTACCCTAATAACCCTTCAATCTTGCCCGCCGACTCAGAATGTAGGTACGTAGAGTAGGCTCTTTACTTATCACACTTATATCTAAATCAACACTCTGGCTTTTTGTTTTTCTTTAACATCTCCTCCTATGTTCATCTGATTTAATTTCGTTGCAGGTCCAATGAAAGTTTAACTTTCCCCGGGACAAACTTGACCTTTAATGGTTGGGTTTTTATTGGCGGTCAATCTGTAGATCCTGGCTACACAGGATAAGCAAAAATTGCAGCGGAAGGAACGAGGGGTGGAAGTCCCGTACCTTCACGATCACGTATCTTGTCAAAAGACACAGCTTAGCCCTGGTGTCAGACTTAATGAAGAATGTTCACTAATTTTGTTTTTTAGCTTTCTGTATTCTCTGTTAAAAATAAAAAATACACGTGAAAGAATGGACATGGCGCACAATTTTTGTTGAAGATGCCAAAAAATACTACAAAAAATTAGAATGAATACTGTATTTTTACTTTTTTGATATCTTTAAAAATGACTGAAATATTCAAGCTCAAAGTGCGCTCTTCCGCTAGGAGCGATTTATCCGCGCGGATTTTGAAAATGTGACGTAGTAACATGAAAAGCTGCATGTAAGATATTATCTGTGTACAATGGTTAGAATGGTTAGTAGGGGAGCCGAAGCGGGGATTTCGGGACTTACTAAAGAGTGGCAGACTAACATACAAGGAAATACTTTGTACCTGGTTGATTACCTTTAAGTATGAATTTTTGATATAAAACGGCATTAGTTCTTATGCCTCTCACCCAAAAAATACCTCAATTAAGCCCAAATTTGAGACCGCAGCCAAACTTTGAGTGACGATGGAAACTAGCCTAGATGGAGGACACATGAAATTGAACTTCTGCTTCTTCATTGATANCAAATATTTAAGTATGTTTATATCCGTTTTCTAGTGAGCGGACGCTGTGAATGTACGTCACACGGGGTCACGTGACCATCGGCGGGATTCAATATTTAAGCGAACTTTGAATGCCTATAAAATCATAACTACTGGGTATTTTTGAATGAAATAAAAACTAATGTATTTGTAAATGTAAAAGCTTAACTGTAACATAGGTTTCAAGTGATTTTGCATACCTAGTAACATTCTCAAATAGAGGCTCAACTGAACTGACAGTTAACTAAGACCCTATAACTCTGATTCGAGAAAGTCTCTACAATCTACATAATTATAAATTTACTGAACTACTTAGTAATACTGGTAGTACTTATTATTATTCTGTGGTAGTACGGAGGCGGAAGATAAAAAAGAAACAGTGGCAGTGGCGGTATGCACGTTTATACTTTGATATTGACAAACGCTTGAAAATGGCAATAGAGAGAGAGAGAAAGAGAGATTCTACTGAATCTCGGTATCTCTCTGTCTATTGTGTGAGTAGAGGTCTCCAGTTGCCGACAAACAGCAGTAAACTGTTTGTTTATTGTTCCTCCGAGCCATTAATTTATCTAATAAGCACCCACTTTGTTAACTTTAGAATACCCTGCCTTTGTTCTTAAGTTGTATTTTATAAGTTCCTAAGGAATAATTACGTAATTACTTACTCCAACTGATATTCATCACGCTGCGTGAAGTTTATGAAAGTGAAGAAATAATAAATTAATATGCTTTGTTTCCGGTGAAAGAGTGAAAGTGACTTTATATTCAAATTTAGCTTTTCACTTCCCCAAAGAGAAATAAAGGAACGGACGAAAAGGACGAACAGTAATGGCACCATTTTTTCTTTGGATTGTTTTCAAAGTATAGTCGATAATTGGAAATTTACGCACGCCGCACACCAAAAGTCGAGGCGAGCAATTATCGGATTTTAGCGCACTGAGGGCTTCATTGTGAGCGATCAAAGCCTTTTTCTCGGCCGACTTTGTAAGCGTTTTGTTTGCGATCGGCATTTTTGGGGTTAGTCTTCATTTCGATGGTATTGGAATTTGCGTGGGTTAAGTGGTTGTGCGGTCGTCTAAGATTTTGTATCTTGCTACGGTTTACTCGTGATTAAAAAACTTAAAATGTTAAAGGACGTAGAATATTGAAACAAATGTGACGTTATTTCTTGTGAAAAGACTTAGGTACTTGAATTAATGACTATCAGTCTCTACATTTCTGTTTCTCCGTTTGTTTCTTATAAGTCATGCTACTGCTAATTAGGGATATAATTGTCAAGATATGTTAAGAACTGAAGTGAATTCCATCCGTGCGAAACCGGAGCGGGTTGCTAGTATAGGAACATACTCGTATCTTATGACGCAACCCGATAACAAAGTCCGGGGAGTTGAATTAGTATGATAATATCATTTCGTCCACAGTTTGAACAATGGCCCGGTTTTGGGATAATTCTCTGACAACATCAAGCCCTTTTGTCGAATTAATGGACTGAGATGTAGGTCAAACCAAAATCCACATTAGCATGAATCCGGCCCTAGCATAGTGTCTATATAACACATGTGGGCGGGACTAAGCTGACTACTGGGAAGGCAGTCTCAAGTGAAAAGCAATCATCGATTCTTATTTGGGCTTAGAGGTTTTAGACAGACCCATATAGGCACAGGTTGACACCTCTATCTACATAAAAAACCTTAAAACAATGTTCTGAAAAAGACATGCAACGAATCGGTCCTAGCTAGCATGTATTATTGTTAAACCTATGGACTGGAGCTTTTTCTACTCGACACAATTTTCCTGAAGTAGTGGTAGAGTTAAAAACACGATCAAGAATATTATATTTAATCTAAATATACTTATACATACATATAACTCTGTTCTGTTCATTTCCATAAATCAGCTAGTAGTAATTAGTACAATGAGGCAAAGCATGTTTGTAAGATGGGGATAGCGGTGCGGGTTGTACAATAACTAAATGTCGATGTATAACTTTACTGCATTATCTGAATTGTACAATTGTTTGTTATCCTAAATAAAATAAAACTCAAAGGTAA